ATTTGTTGCAGAGCCCTGTAATGTCTTGAGTGATCTGTGGTAAAGTGTGTCCTGCGTGCTTGTTTTTAATTTTAAACAAGCACGCTGATTATTGTTTATGTTGCTTGTTTTTAATGTTTTCCCTCGAAGCATTTTTCTTGGGCCAATGCTTTTACAGCACCTGATAATCACACATTCTGTTTGTTGTTTGTGTTCACGTTTCAGAACTGAGGCCGGATGCTGACCTGGGTTGATGCAGAGCTGGGTGCTCCCCTGAGCTGTGCGGTGATACAGGTGTCCCCCCGGCTCCTGTATACCCAGCTCGACGGCTAACGGCACTATTTGCGTTACCCCGGAGCCTCGCGTGGCCCGGTAGCAGCAGGGCTCAGTAGCGGAAGGGCCCAGCCAAGGGTGGTCAAATCCTTTTGGAAATGAGGTTCCGAATACACAAGAGGAAGGTGGCCATTTTGTTTGTGCTGCTAACCGTGGCCGGCATTGCTACGTGGAACGTGACGAAAGCACGGAAGCAGGCTCCTCGCGAAAGTCCAAAAAATGCAGTAGCGACTGAGCAGAACCGGATTTTATCCGAAGATCGAGATGAATATGACTATTTCCGAGGTCGTGACAATGTGTCATCTAATTTTTTCGACGTGAAAATTGGTGTGAAAAATACATCAAAGGAGCTGAAAAAGTACATATACCACCAAAACTTTTACCAGTTCATCAGAAACTCTGAAAAAATCAAGGCTCCAGCTAAGGATGGGCTGGTCATCCTGGTGCAAGTTCACAACCGCCCACAGCACCTCAAGCTGCTAGTGGAGTCGCTGAGAAAAGCCCAGAGGATTGAGGAGGTGCTGCTTGTACTCAGCCACGACTACATATCAGAGGAGGTGAACGAGGTCGTGCGCACCATTGACTTCTGCCGTGTGCTGCAGATCTTCTTCCCGTTTAGTCTACAGATCTACCCTAACGAGTTCCCGGGACAGGACCCCAATGACTGTCCCCGGGACATCTCCCTGGAAGAAGCCCGTCGGCTGAAGTGCAACAATGCCGAATTCCCAGATAAATACGCCCACTATCGCGAGGCCGTCTTCACGCAGACCAAGCACCACTGGTGGTGGAAGTTGCACTTCGTGTGGGACCGCTTGAACGCCATCAACGCCCATGACGGCCTCGTGCTGCTCATCGAGGAGGACCACTATCTATTGCCCGACTTCTACGTCGTCCTGCAGAAGATGTGGGACATGCAGAAGCGCGAGTGCCCCGACTGCGACATACTGAGCCTTGGCTCCTACGATATGGTGGACAACTTTGAGGGCAAGAGCGACAAGCTTGAGGGGCTGCCCTGGCAGTCATCGCGGCACAACATGGGCATGGCCATCGGACGGCTGACGTACAAGCACCTGCTGGCCTGCACGCAGGAATTCTGCACGTACGACGACTACAACTGGGACTGGACGCTGCAGCACCTGACGGTGGCCTGCCTGCCGCACCCGCTCAAGGCGCTGGTGCTGCAGGCTCCGCGCGTGCGCCACACGGGCGGTTGCGGCATGCACCACCAGGGCCCGTGCGACGCCGAGGGGGAGGCCCGCCGCCTCGCGGAGCACGTGTCCGCCAATGTGCCGCACCTCTACCCGACCACCCTACAAATCCTGCAGATGCACTATGTGTCGCCCATCAACCCCCACACTGTCAACGGTGGCTGGGGTGACAAGCGAGACCACGCGCTCTGCCAGAGCTACAGACAGCTGCGCTGAGTTGAACAGAGGAGCAGCGGCAATTGTCTTGAATTCTCCCGTTCTGCAAAGCCATGTCTGGGTGTCAATTGAGAACAAAAAGAAACATTTTTCATGTGTGTGAGGGACCAATGTTGTTCCACTACCCCATTCTCATCTCCCCCCACCCTTAATATTCTTATTTTTTTTTCAATTGTTTTGTTACAGTTTAAATCCATCCTTTGCCTGAATCTGTGTTGTTATAACTGAAAAATGTAAAACATACATTAATTGGTGTTAGCACAAGTAATGATTTTCTCTTTATATGAAAAAAAAAATTCAAATTGACAGCTGTCATTTTCCGACATTACATGGTGTGTTGTAAATGGGTATAAAGGTAAAGTGGCATAAGGTAATGGCCAAACGATTGGTGTTAAATATTTTTTTGGTATGTTCTTATATAATGTAGGTGATTCCAGCTAAATAAATTTGAACTGGAAAGTGGTACACAAGGTTTGTGTCATTGACTCCTCTGGCAAGGATTTGCCTCCTCTTCGCAAGAACCGGATGGACATTATTCAGACTTCTTTTGGATGTGGCAGGGGTCCAAGACATTTTCCAATGCGCGAGCGGTTGCACGTCCACGACAAAGCTATCTCAACAGTTGGTGGCTGTATTTGCTGGCATCCTTACTGCACATATGTGCCTCATGGGTGGCAGTACAGTTTTGAGGCCGTCGGTTTGTACTCCATAGCAAGAAGCCTAAGATGCACTTTGCTCGTAAATACAAACGGTGAAACAAAGAGATTACATTATAAGCGTATACACTCATGCCTGGAAATACATTACGTAAATTATTAAAATAAAATATTCCAGCCTATTCACAAATAGATGAAGGCCTACCCATGAATGTCTGTTTTTAAAACAAATTGTTATCATACTTAACCACCTTGGTCAGTGCCGGTTTGTAAAGGGATAACACTCGCCATGGATGTTAGCCCTGCCTGGGACTCAAACTGTTTGCTGGGTTCCTAGCGCAGCGTGCTAACCCACAGCGTCACTTGGTCCGCCACTGTAAAGGACTGCACCATATACATGTTGGGAGATATAAAACCAGTTGGGCAGGAATGAGATCGCTGAGCAGGTAACACCTTCGTGTCCATGTCTCCTTTGTGTGGCAGTGGGAAATTGACCAATAGCAAATGTCTTGCTTCTGAGACTGCACTGACTTCCTTTCAGGTGTGAACATTGTCGCTATTAAGGAGACACTTGGCTGTGTGCAACAAGACATTGCACAAACCCTGTACTGTACCTTTTGCAGTTTAGAATACAGGTTATATTGAATAGACTATTTTCCTTATGAAGGGAACTGTGAAGTCTAGACATGAATGGAACAAGTTTGACTTCCGTTCAAAAATGGCATCATATATCCAAACGTTTGAAAAAAAACCTACAAAATAATGCCCCTATTGTATAGTGTTCCCTAGGTTCCCTTTCAAAGAGCCTAAATAGGCTTCCACCTCTTTTACAAAAAATAATTTGGTTTTGTTTGGCTCTAACCTATGACCACATTATACGGAGTGTGCCAGATGTCATCAGATCTTAAAAGTTTAAACGGGTTTTAGCCTGGTTAATACTTCCATGGGAAATACTCTATAGTTCAGTACAAGGTGTTTTTACTGGTAGGAACCTCCTGGTTACACCAGCCCACAGGGGATTATTGTGTCCGTCCGTCGTGCATCCAAAAATTGGAGGGGTGGGGCTGGGTGGAGATGGGAGGGTGGGGAGGGGCTGGGTTGGGAGGGTGGGGTGGGGCTTGGTGGGGAGGGGCTGGTCACCCCGTGGTGCCCTTATAAAACTCAATGTGCAACCTACTCACGCCGGCTTGTGCCTGCCGTTGACCCTGGCCATTGGCCGAGCAACCCAACGTTCCTACCAGCTCCCTTCGCAGGAATGTGTTAGGCTTGGGCTGCGAGGTAGGTGGTCATGAGATGGCAATACAACATTTTGACTCTTGAATCTGTGCAGAGCTTTGAGTTATGCCCTCGTATGTGGTGGGGTTTCTCCAGGCTTCCTCGGAGAAGCCACTATAATGCAATTGTCTAAACGTCTCAAATGCAGATCCCTCCTGAAAACAAGTCTTGACACTTGGCGAGGCTTTCCTTGAATAAACCAGGCACGTTATAATCGGCGTACCTGCAAATTCATTTCTGGGTTTTATAATTCGTCCTTCAAATGTTACATTAAACACAAACAAAATATTCTTGGTTCTTTCGGTAAAGTCACGTAGAAGGGAAACAATAAAATCATAAAAATATAAAACAATAAAATTATCACGACGTTTCGATTGTGTTGCAGTCGAAACGTCGTGAGAATTGTTTTATATTTTTATTATTTTATTGTTTTCCTTCTACGTGACTTTACCGAAAGAACCAAGAATATGAATCCCTGCAGTCACGAAAGCTTTAAAACAAACAAAATAATTAGTTTTTTTTATTGTATGTCTCCCTTTTCAAAATACATGATTATCCAAATGGGGCCCCCACCTGACACTATAATGATTATACAATTTTACATCTTCCACAAGTGGCAGATCCCTTTCACTCGTTTCATGCAACACGTGACAACTGTGTAAAAAAAAAGTAAAAACGGGCAATGTGTATATCGTGCGAAAAACAAGAGTTGCGGTTCCTGGAGAACTTGCACTGTTGGTCTTGGGTCACCATCAAAATCTATTTGAGCAAATGTGACCACTTGCCAGCAGCAGCGATGCAGCAGCGATAGACAACTTTGGACCGGCGTCGTTTTCATTGGGGCCTCATCATCAAAGTCTGTCTGTGGAAGCCACGTGCGTGGTGGAGTCATCCCCACATGCAACATGCCCCCCCCCCCCGGCTCATACCAACGAAAACCACGTCGGCAAAACGACGAAGAAACCGGCCTCCCATCGCCACGGTGGGGGGTACAAACTCACAGTGGGACACGGGCCACACGAAAACAACGAGCGGCCACTGTTGCTCTGCATCACTGCAGAGCGTTGCGTGTGTGTGTGTGGGGACCGGGGTGGGCGAGGGTTAACGAGCCGATACCGCGGGCGGCCATATTACGTGGGGGAAGGGAAGCCGAAGCAACTCGCATCGAGTTGCTCGTTTCGATGACGCAGCAACCGAAGTTGCCAACGGCTCTCTAGCGCCCCCTCACACACGAGGGCCGGCCCCGTTGATTTGTTTAACACCGGCGGTGGACACGCGGCCAAATGCCCCTACGTAAGATGGCGCGCGGGCTCGCCGAGGTGTCGACGGAGGCGCGATCGTCGCCGCGTTGAAAGCGGCGGGCGGGAAGGGTTTTGTGGCGGCGGCGGCGGTGGCGGTGAAGAGAAACGCGGCCCTGTCCTGTTGGGGGCTGGTCGCGCGGGAGACGCGCGGGGCCTTCTCGTTTTTTGTTTGTTTAGTTTCTCTCTATCTCTGTGTGTGTCCGTGTCCTCGTTCTAACTCCACACACACCACTCCCGCCCCCCCCCCCCCCGACTTGCGCGGGGAGGGAACGGCGAGCCGTCGCCATGAGGCGACGCCTGAAGGAGGGGCAGGGTTGTTGTAGTGGTGGTGGTGGTGGGGAGGAGGAGGAGGGGGATGAGGCGGACGAGAAGGAGCCGGGAGCGAAGCGAGTCGCCTTGAGCGCCTCGCCCGGGACGGCGGCGGGAGACGGCGGCGGCCCCGCGGCGGCGTCGCCGCCGCCGTCCATTCGCGCTCTAGGAGCCCAGCAGCCCCTGAACAGCGCGGCGGGTGAGAGTCCAAACCCCCCACCACCATCACCACCACCCTCACGCTCCCCTCATCCTTCCTCTTCCCCAGGATCCAGTCTCGCTCACAACATTCGCTGCCGACTCAGGAACTCATGAGACGTGACCGAGGAGGAGGGTGGGGTGCGGGGTGCCCGACACGGGAATGTGGAGTTGCCAAACCCACCCACGGCGCAACGGTGGCTTGCCGCGTAGGGTTGACGAGGCTTTGTCCTGGAAATTGGCGCGATGTCCGACGTTTCGCTGCACGCGTCGGAAACCTTCAGGACCTGCCCCCCCCCCCCCTGCTGTTGGACGTATACGCCGACCACGCGCGGTGTGCAGCAGTCCCGCAAACACATCGGAGAGCCGTGCGGCACAGCGGCGAAACCCGTACAATGTAGTACAGGCTGCAGTTGCCATCGTACGACCCTACTTGGAATGTCACAAGAATGTACCGAATGACAAGACGCAGTCGCCGTGTTTTGTTTACCTCTCCACCCATGCTCGCTGTCAGTCACGCCGCCGCCTGGCTTCTAGACGCATGCCTCCCACTGGCCTCTGTCACGCATTGCCCCATCTGCCAATATAACAGGGCTTGTCTGCAGCAGTCCTCTTGTTGAGGCATCTGACGACATCACGCACGAGTCCGGGGGTTCTCTCTCCATTGCCTCTTCTCAGTGGTGGCTCAAAGGCATAAGCAGACAAGAACACGCATATGGCCTCGGGCAGTTTCAAGTCGCACCTGATGCATGGAAAAAATGTTTATTTAAGGAACATAATAGCTCAAATCCCAATCATCTCTAATACATGTGTTATCTAACTGTTCTCTCATCACGCTACATCTCTATCTGTTGTCGATGTCTCTTCTTATTCTTGGTTCTTTCGGTAAAGTCACTTAGAAGGGAAATAATAAAATAATAAAAATATAAAACAGAAGATGCCTCTTCTGTTTTAAATCCAAAGGCGATCTCCAAAAAAATGTCTGCATAAACCCCCAATGGGCCTGGACCACGCTTCTCACTAATTTAACCAAGGAAGGGATATCGCACGTATTGAAACCATCTTAATGGTGCATTCTTGGTATTGCACTCATTCGACTGTTAGACGAAGTAAATGAGCTTGAACATGACTTTGCAATGATGGCTGGTGGTCAAGACTAACGACACAATATTTAGTTTCAACAAGGAACATGTTTGGATGGAGAAAAACTGACGAGAGGTGGTGTGTTGGCAGAGTCCACGAGCAGCGGTGACGAGGATGAGGAGAGCGAGAGGCCCATGTTGGGCGCCGGTGGGGATGGCAGCGGTGGCAGCGGTAGCAGCAGCAGCAGCAGCACCGGGCCCTCCTGTACCACCTCTGCGTTACCGATCTACAACTCCGTCTCGCAGAGGCTCATGGTGAGGCGTAGTAAGCCTCTGGGCTCGGTCACGTTCTGTGCTATACCTTGCTGATCATGGCCCACAGTGTCTCTGAAACGAAATGTGATGCCGAGTGACCTGGAAACCTTGCGTCGTAGAAATATGAGAAGCCTGTGATATTGGTGGTGCCATGATAAAATGAATGTTAGATCGTTTAGGCAAGATACACTGGCCATTTATTCTTTAGGTTCTGTATTAAAATTAGACTTGAAGAGTTTGATCTTAATTCGGGCACCTCTGGAGGTATATTGGTCATGGTATGATACATTTCTTTCAGTTTGACACATTTGACTATATCTACTTCAGACATTTAAATTTACCCACGTGAAAAGTTGGTTTGTTTACATTTACCTGATAACATGCATGCTTGAAAACTATTCACCGGATATCATTACATTGTCCCTGAAGGTGGACAAGGTGGCTCAGAAGTCAGAAGAGTACCGAGTTGGCACTGTTGAGATCCGAATTTCAAATCTGGGTTTCAGCCACCCATGATTAAACTTAGTTATCAAGTGTTGTGAGTTCATGGTCTCTCCAAAAAGAACCCCAAAACAAGCACATAAAAAACATCAATTGTGTGTTTCAAAGTTGGTTTGATAATAAACGAGCTTGAAAAGTTTTAGTTTGGCATTTTATAAACAATTGTGAGGGTATATATAAGGTGTACTCTAGTGTGGAAAAAAGCTATATAGAAGTGACTTCAGAAATAGTTCTCTGACATCTTTCCAGGCAATTCACTGGTGCCTAGCTTGCTGCATGGTGTCAACGGCGTCATATAATTGAGAGGGGGTTGGGGAATATGAAAAAAATTCCATCATATTGCCCCAATGCACTAGCTCAATTGCAACAACGTCTTAGATGAGGTTTTCTACTCTGAATGCGTGCTCACCCGTGCGCCACCACGCCGTGCTGTGTCGTCGTCACCGCGATTCTGTTGCTTTAGGCCAAGATGGGCTTCCGTGAAGGTGAGGGCCTGGGCAAGCATGGCCAGGGCCGCAAGGAAATCGTCGAGGCGTCCACGCAGCGAGGTCGACGCGGATTAGGCCTCACGCTGCCCGGCTTCGAGGGCAGCCTCGAGATCGACTGGAGGAGTGAGCCTGAGGTATGTATTATCGAACGTCCTCTCTCCGGCATGTGTCAGTGCCTATTCTTGCATACAAACTCTAGCTGTATAGCAATATTAATATTTTTGTGATACATAATATATCAATAGTATACTTGATTCAGAATTTGTATGCATTAAATGCCCAGTACGCTGCTTATCTGGAACAATGCCCGAGTCCAAGGAGTTCATTCATTGTTGATTTAGTTTTCTAAGAGTTGCTTTCAAAACGACAGTGGTTGTCAGAAGGGATTGGCTTAGATTTGCCTGCATGAGGAACTGTTCAACTGATCGTTTGGAAGATGATGGGAAAGTGGTCTGGTGGCTTTACACGATATTACATTTCATGTAAAGCCACCTGATGATATTCCAATTTTTGACGGAAATCAAATGCCAAAGAAGTCATGCTAAATTAGCTCTGGTTTAGTTACTGCTATTTTAGTAGTCTACAAGTATTAATACATCACCATATTGTGGCAGTGTTACTGTAGAGATGGCTGTGCACTTGTGCATTCGTCTGCATTAAAAAGTGGTCATAGGTGAAGGTCAGTTCGCTAAAATATCAGAGCAGTGAGCTGGCACGGCTGAGATTCTGGGCTCGAATCTGAACAGCCGCTTATGATTAACCCAATTCTCAGTTTAAGCGAGTTGATAGTTTCAGCCCCGTCAGTAGTAATTGAAGAAAAAAAGAACCAATCACATGAAATATATTTTTGCAACTAATTAGGCTTGTTCCATCTCAAGCCATACATGTTTAGAATCGATTGACGTGACGATTCATCTTCTCAGGGCATCAAAATTTGTGTCCCCTAGTGTGGATAAAGAGGTCTATTGAAATTACTTTGAACATAGTGATGTCATCTTTTCGGGCCTTTCTTTGATACAGAGCTTCACATTGCTCTCTGTGAGAATATATTTCAATTAAATAAACTTATGTTTGACATGATGCTTTTAGCACAGTTGGAATGTAAATAGGAAACAAAAACGAACAGAAAAAAAATGGGCATAGTCAGTGCATGTGACCTCACTAGACTCAAAATTTCTCTTCACTGCTAATTTGCGCATCGAGCAAGTGCCACTGATGTATTTACATTACCCCGGATTCTTTTTGCGTTCCAGAATGAGAGGTCCGGATTAAATTAATTTCTGCTCGGATTAGCGGAAGTCTGTTGCAGCAGTATTCTTCACCCTTTCCCATTCCGTCTGCAAATTGCAGGGTTGGTCCTGTTCACCGCTGAGTCTTGGAACAATTAAGCAATTAGCGTTAATTTATTTAAAGGCATAGCGCCTATGTTTTTGAAAGACATTGTACTGTACTCACCGCAGAGAACTGTAGCGACACGACCGCACTCTATAATAGCTGGCGCCAAACTGTGCCACGCCCTTTAGCATGTCCTTGTGGGAGTCTCGGTACGTCTTCTGACCTGAAGACGTACCGATATAGTTATTATATTTTAGTTTTTATTGCGATTCTGGAATTGGACGTACACGTATGTCATCGGAATGGGAAAGGGTTAATTTGTTTCTTTATTGGTCGTAGCCAGACGTAATGGCTATTGTTGTCATTGTTGTTGTTACGGCTGCATCGTCTGCCTCAGCCCAGTGCGGACGAGCAGGTGAAGTGGCTTCCAGAGAGCAGCGAGCCTCCGCCCATCGCCGAGCACATGCAGCGGTGGATGCAAGTTGGGCCGGTAAGGACACAGTTGTGAGGTGGCCGGATGGCTGAGAGGCCAGAGCGCTTATTTGCCAGTGCTAATATTCCAAGTAGCTGGTTTCAGCCGCCTGTGATTAAACCTGATTCTCAAGAATCGAGAGATTATGGTATCAGTATGGTCACTACTGACTTGAAAAAAAAAACATTACATACAATTTAGTTGTGCATTTAATTTGCCCAAATTCCAGCTCTGAGAATAATATTGGATTGACTGTCAGGTAACGAACATTACTGTCAGTGGCATGGTGGGAAGTGCTGCCCCCTACTATGTGAAACAGACATTAGTTTAAGGGATCTCTTTGTACATTCTCCATCATTCCATTATCCCAAGTTCAACATTTTAATTTAATATGTATAAACAATATATAATTGATGGTTAGGACAAACTATTTAATGTACACCCAGGTTCTGTCCCTGAAAATCAGAATGTCTCTTGAAAGTAGTGAAATCAAAGCAAAGAGATGAGATGGTAGATCGTAATGTGGTCCAGAACCTTAATAGTAACTCGTTACACAACTATACTGTACAACCATTGTTATGAAAAGTAAGTGTATACTTTTGATATATTGAGATATGTTGTCTATTACACTATATTATTAGTTTATCATATACAAATGGTTTACACTTGTATAAACATAGTCTCCATAAATACGGTATGTGGGAAAAAAACAATGAACAGAGTACATGAAAGAGACTGCTGCAGTCAGGATCGCTAACGCTTGGGCACCATCTGGCCCAAGTTCGTAAATCTCGAGTACTTTATGGTGAGGCACGCCGTACGTGAAACAGTTTTGGGTATCATTAAGTTGAGTGTTACAGTGAAAGTATGTAGAATGGGAGGGCGTAAATCAGGGTATTACCGTATATTGTGCGTAATAATCGATATTAGTCAGTACATGTGTGGATTGTTAGACGCCTAATTTTTTTTAAATCTATTTCTGTTGCAGAAAAAGCACGCTCCCGAAGACGAAGTGGAGTTCTGTGACCTGCAAACCATTCACAACGTACTGCGATGTAAGGTGAGGGGGCACTCTGGAGATGTTTCCATGTAGACTTGTCAGAGTTTGTTAGGGAGTGACTTAACTAGGAGTGACACAATGTGTATTGCTTCATAGAGCACGGGATCATGTAAAGAACAAGACAGAAAAAGCAAACACTAGATGCAAACAAGACCGTACAAAGAAAGCAAAACATGCGGGCCACAGTACAATCGAGCCAGTATAAACAAGGCAGAATGACTTAAGACACAAGATAATCAGTTCTTGAATCATGATGCCAAATTTTGTCATAATACACGGAATTGCAAGGGCTCCTATTTCAAACCGAAGATTCAGCCCTGTGGTCCAAGGGACCTGGCATGATGTCTTTAGTATACATGTTAACGGCGCTTACTTGACCCTATACAAGATGTTTCCCATCTCGTTACATAATGGGATCAAGCAGTCATGTTTTGTCAGCCAATATAGATGACTGCTTGAACAGGGCTACCTGACTCAGCCACTAGAATAATATAGGGTATGCCACCATTGCATCCTTGGGCTTAATGTACACATTTTCCAGGAGGATGATGCACATGGAAGCATGATTGTTTAGAAAAAGTCAAATAGACGACTTGAAGGAAGGTATCCATTACAGTGAAATGCAGATGAAAGCTTAAGATATGGTAGGGAGTTTGAGGCAAAGACCTGCCGTTTGGAAAATGATTAAAGCAGAAGATCCACATGGCACCGCGCTATTGGCAGAGTCTTGACATCACTCGATGATCAATCCTTGGAACGGTCTCTTCCTGTGTTTGTCCGTGCCCGCGTGTGGCTGCAGAGCGTCTTCGACGAGCTGGACGGGGAGGAAATGAGGAAGGCGCGTACGCGCTCCAACCCTTATGAGACGATCCGCGGGGTCATCTTCCTCAACAGGTGCAATGGGCGGCTCGGTGGTGTCCACCGCAGACCCTGTGAACACCCTGTCTGTTGCAGTACCTGGAGCAATACGTTTTGCATGTGTACATTGTCAGTGTTTTACTTGTAATAAGATTTGTAATAATGAATTACGTTTATATAGAGCCTTTCTACAAGGTACTCAAAGCGCTGTACATGACAAAACAATACAAACAAGGGAGATGAATGTATTCCACGAAGAAGAGAATTATACTCAATGAGCTCGCGCCTGGTCATAAATTATAGTAAATTATCAAATCTGTCTATCTAAATCGCACCTATTTGCGTCTCTTCAATGACCAGGGCTTCAGTGAAGATGGCCAACATGGACTGTGTGTTCGACTTCATGTTCACCAACCCAAAGGATAAAAATGGGGTGAGTCTCTGCCAACCATGAATCTATATGCAACTCACTCCCAAGGCATGGGCGAGAGATGCAGTAGTGCATAGATGGGTGGGCGCGTGTGGACGATAAACGTGCGCAGAGAGGCCCAGGGCAGGCACACGGGAGGGCAGATACCACGAGCGTGTCGGATCGTAGTGACCACTGTGCGTGCGTGTGCGCGCGCTTGCTTGCGTCCTTTGCAGCAACCACTGGTGAACGATAAGGGCGGCGAGCTGCTATACTTTGCGGACGTGTGCGCGGGCCCCGGTGGATTCTCAGAGTACGTGCTGTGGCGCCGTTCGTGGCATGCCAAGGGCTTCGGCCTCACCCTGCGCGGCCCCAACGACTTCAAGCTCGAGGACTTCTTTGCGGCTCCCAGCGAGATGTTCGAGGCGCACTACGGTAGGCGTTGCGTCACAGTGTGGCAGACCTGGGGTGAATTAATAGTTTCAATTGTGTAATTTGTATTGCAGGATTTAGGATTTTCCCTTTAAACTAAACTATTAAATTATAAACTTTTTATTTTAGATTTGAAGCTTTTGTGACTGCAAGGATTTATACTCTTTGGTTTTTTCGGTAAAGTCACATAGGTGACTTTATTTTACCTACGTGACTCGACCGAAAAAAAACCAAAGAGTATTTTTATTTTACCAGGTAAAACCCACTGAGCTATATAGCTCTTTTTCAGAAGCTACCTGGCCGCAAATGATAGCTCAACGAAGTGGCTTATCATGTGGAAATTTATAGCAGCCAAATACTCTCAATGCACGTTGATTCTAAATGTGGAGGGAAAAACCGGAAGTCCCGGAGAAAAATCCACACGACCATGGGAAGAACATGCAAACTCCAAATATAGGCATCAGGGTCGGGATCGAACCCACAACCTCCTGTATACCAGGCAAGGAAGTTGAAATCGTGCCACCGTAGCACTTGCCAAAATGCCGCGGATTCTCAAAGTGCTTTACCAAATGAACAGGGAAATAGAACACGGTAGGGGCCAAAATGTCATGTGAAGAGGGGAAACAACGATGAACAATGCACCATAAAATAATGAGTGAAGGACATCACAGACAAGGGATACACAACGATCCATGTGCACAAACCAGGGTGACAGATGTACCACCCAAAATCCCGCAATCATCTAATTGCAATCACAGTGTAATTGTATTGTAATTATAATTGACCCCAGGTCTGTTGTGTCGTTTACACAATACGAGCAACATAGCAAGAACTGATTGGAGGAAAAAAAATTGATTCAAAGCTTTCGTGACTGCAGGGATTCATATTCTTGGTTCTTTCGGTAAAGTCACAATAAAATAAAATTAATTGTTTTATATTTTTATTATTTTATTGTTTTCCTTCTACGTGACTTTACCGAAAGAACCAAGAATATGATTGGAGGAAGTTAAGTAATTGGAATGAGTGCATGCGCAAATGTTTGCATGTGTGGATGCACCCAGTGTGTGTTCATGATGTGTTTCTGCAATCTGTAAATTTGAGTATATATTTTGTTGCAGTGTTGTAAACATTTTCAGTATTTTAGGAAGCATTGTGTTGTTAAAAACAACCATTTTAATAACATTTGGCCAAGCACTTGAAAAGATGCTTTAAAGCGCTCGGATAATTGCATAATAAGTGAGTAAATCAGGTAGAAGTAATAACCGTGTACCAATTTGTAATGTTTCGCACTTGTAATAGTTGAGCTGCGTAAAGGACTGAGAAATTTAGAATCCTGCAAGTGCTTATCTGTTTACTGGCCAGCGGGGAACTAAATTATTTCCCGGAGGGAGGACTCTCTGAAAGTCACCACTTTGAGGTGTGTCGGTAATAGATTTAGTACACTCAGTATGGAAAAGTGTCGATATTTAATTACTCATGCTGGACCCACTTAACGTCAGCACTGTGGAAGCTGAGTGACGATCCCTGCAGTGATGGTTGTGTCTATGCTGCCGCCCATTAATGATTTTGTCCATAAAGAGTAGAGGTAGAATTAAGCCCCCATACCCCCGACCCTCATAGTTATTCAACTAATTGTCACCATTCAGTGTGACGATTCAATTCAATAATCTATTACTTTTATTTTAACATTGCAGTCAATGGTAGCACCTCTGTGGCTGCAGGAGTGACATTAACCCACTGCATTCATACACGTACGAATAAAAAAAAAACATCTGACACGTGCGATTCAATGCATATCATATCATATTGTGATTGTGAGAATTGATAATATTTGGTTAAAGATTGCGTTGATGCTTCTTTATGTCTATTGCTAGTCATAGGCCTTCGGGCCTGTTTTCAGCAACTGCGATTTATTCAGCAGGTTATTTAAAAGTGCGCCCTTAGCAGATGTCACTGATGGGCGATGTTCATCGTTGACGCCGGGTAGTGGTTGGCAGGCACTGTGGTGCATTGTGGTGTCGTGCGTTGGCCCGCAGGCGTTAGCGGAGTGGACGGGGACGGTGACATCACGCGCTCCGACAACATCGAGGAGTTCCGCCGCTTTGTGCTGTGCGGCACCGAGGGCCGTGGCGTGCACTTCCTCATGGCCGACGGGGTGAGCGCCGCGGCCGAGTGGCGGGTGCATTACGGTGGCATCGTGCGAGCCGGGTTGGCCTTCCACATGGTCATCCACCAAGTGGTGTAGCGTGGTCCGCGTGGACCCTGGCGCAAGGATTGAGAAGAGGTCCCCCCAGTCCAATTCACCGCCCTCCCACTCTTTGTATTCCGCCACCTGGGCCTCTCTGGACCATGGACCCCCCCTCCCCCCGGGCAGTCGCACGCCAGCACACTCAGTAGCTATGACGCCACTAGGAAGCGGGCACCACAAAATTACGCGTGTAAAGTGCATCAGATATTATGCTCACGACACACGTGTCGAATTGTGTAAGAACGTATTATTTTCAGTTTATGCTAATGGTATGCGAATGTTACGTTTTGGCTAAATTTAGAAAGCAAAACTATACAGATGAGAGTACAAATGGGAATCGAACCACTACCCGTAATCATCAAAATGAATGGAATCGCCAAGGGGGGTGAATTGCTAAAATTTCCACGCACCCGCCGCACACTACAGCTACCAACCCTCATTCATGGATCTGCGCCCGTGTGCACAGGGTTTTTCGGTGGAGGGCCAGGAGAATTTGCAGGAGATTCTCAGCAAACAGCTGCTACTCTGCCAGGCACTGGTGGCGCTTTCCGTCGTCCGCAAAGGTGCGTGTCCGGCATGCGGGCTGGTTAGGGTGCAGGCAGGCACCTCGCGTCGCGCTGTGCCGATGGTGCCTTTTTACACAAGCGCGTCTCCCAACAATGTAGGTGGAAGTAAGTCACTTGAGCAATTCACATGACACAACGCCCACCAATCACAGCCACCTAACTTGATATTTTCACCCCTCCTTTGGGGACCCAACAATCTACAGCCACTCCAGGTAAATTCCTACACCTAAAGCTGACACTGCTAGAGCCCCCTGCCAACTACCAGTACTCTTCACCCCTCTTCGTAGCCTGGGCCCCTCCAGCTCATGAGCCCCAGATGAGTTGCACCACCTGCATCCCCAATAGCTACATCACTGGTGCACCTCTCTCCCCAATGATAGCAGAGGATCGGACAGCTCAAACAGAATGGGGCTGATGGGCACTCTCAAGTATTGGTGCCATTAACTTGAGCCCGCACACTCGTAATGCCTGGGTGTGGTGTGGCCTGCCGTGTGGTGGTGCAGGAGGTCACTTCGTGTGCAAGACCTTTGACCTGTTCACGCGCTTCAGCGTCGGAGTGATCTACCTCCTGTACCGCTGCTTCTCCAGGGTGTGCCTCTTCAAGCCCGTCACCAGCCGCCCCGCCAACTCAGAGAGGTGGTGCACCGCACTCACCACACGCACTATACTTACGCTCAGTGCACAATCAGGGTCCATGCTCCAGCTGTGCCCACTGGAGGAGGAACAATGTACGACGATTTGTTGCATTATCACAGATCAGACTCGCGATACGTGCAAAAAAAATATTTATTTTTGCAATTATGATGCTGATATGAGGAATTTAAGAGATATTTGTGGGCCTGACACTGCTTTCACTGAAAATACCTAAACTTTGTGTTCCGATAAAAAAGGCCACATTCATCAAACATACCTTTACAGCATGCACACTGCGACTTTATACACACCGATGACGGGTGACCTTCACACGACCCTGTCCCCTTTACTTCCCTCTGTCCCCTTCATTGTCCTTCATCCCCACCATCCTTACGACCACGTAACTTTGACCAAGGTACGTGGTGTGCCGGGGCCTGCGAGGGGGCGTGGAGCACGTGCGCGAGTTAATGCTGGCGGTGAACGCTGAGATAAACCGGTTGAAGGGCGGCGATGACGACGAGGTGCTGGAGATTGTGCCGCTGTCCACCCTCAAGGGCGACCAGGAGTTCTTCTCGTACGTGTGCTCATCCAACGAGAGGTATGGCCGGTGGTGTAGCGTGTTCGCCGCTTGTTGCAGAGGTTACTATTACTACTATTTTACCACTCGGCTATATAGGGCTTTTTCAGAAGAGACCTGGCCACAAATGATAGCTCAACGAAGTGGCTTATCATGTGGAAATGTAAAGCAGCCAAATACTCTAAACGCATGTTTCCAAATGTGGAGGGAAAAACCAGAGGACCCGGAGAAAAATCCACGTGACCACGGGGAGAACATGCAAACTCCAAATAGACAGGCATCGGGGTAGGGATCAACCCCATGACCTCCTGTATACCAGGCGAGGTAGTTAACCACGGCGGTGCACGGTTTGAATCCGGCGGCCTCTATTACTGCCGATGTAACAACCGTGGTAATACTACATGCCGCCTCCTTCCCAGTGGACGTTAAAGATCCCCTGATGTGATTTTCAAGAGTAAGCCATTGTGTGCCATCGACAAGGTACACATTTTCCAAATTCTAAAATTAGTTGCTAATTACAAAATCGATTTTAAACACACGTTTAATCTCGAATCATCGCCCCCTACTGACAGAACAATGCCCCAAGCCACTCTTGCAAATGACACTTATCCTGGTGTTTCTTGAATTCCCACCTGGTTAAATGAATAAACTTGTACTTGAAACATGTCAAGGTTGGTGAGTAAGCTAGTGGATGGCTGAGAAGCAGCCTGATCTGTATGATAACACCACTCTACAATTCAACATGGGCCACATGGACTAAACAGAAATGAGTGATTCCAATCGTGTACCCAAATCCTCAAATTCCATAATATTTTTGAGAGGGTGAATGTCGTTATAAGTCAACCGAGTTCGTTCTAAATTTTTGGGTGGTCATGGACGGCTTGCGATGGCCAGCAGGGGGCCTGACGCACCATACATTGGCCTCACGTGGGTCCCACTCTCTCTCCCTCCTCTTGACTCTCCCTCCCTCTCTGACCCAGCCACGCCAAGGTGCAGGTGCTGGCGCTGGCGAAGATCCACGCTTTCGCACTAGAACCGTGAGTACCTCTCCTCTGCAGGGTCCATGACCCAGACGAGGTAGGGGCTCGTTTTGATGGAAGCACCAAGGGGTTTTGGGTGCGATAGCGGAGGGTATAGAACAGGGGTCAGCAACCTGCGGCTCCGGGGCCACATGCAGCTTTTTAAGGACTGCTTTGTAACGTTATTTATTAAGGACTACCATCTCATATTCACATACATTGATACATTGACTTTTTTTACCAAATTGGAAAATAAGGCTCTTTTTTTTGTTATTTTGGTTGCCGCCCCCATGTTTGGGATAACCAGACACAAGCATACGTGTCGAAACGTCATAGTTTTTAAAAATTTTTTGTTATTTTCTTTGAACCTATATACGTGACTTTACCGAAAGACCCAAGAATATGAATTCCTGCAGTCACAAAAGCTTTAAGTCAAGGCATACGTGTGTGTCTGTGTGCATGCGGAGTGTTTCTGTGTGTAAGTGCATGGGTGGGGAGTGATGGCACATTAGTTAGCGCACTGCACTACAGATCCAGCGACCTTGTTTTGTTTTAACATTAGTGGGGAGTGCTATCTGAAAAGCTTGCCTGGCAATCTGGAACTAGATGGGAGCGGGGATCGTAATCTATGCACACGTGAAGTTGCTCAGAAAACAGCCGTGCTTGGCCATGCGCCTGTTTGTTTGCTGCGGACTTGTGCGCTTCTGTGTGTCCCCATGAAAATGTTCACTCGCGCGTGTAAAAAAACGTGTGTGTGCAGCACCCTTTACGAGCCACGGCAGGCGGAGGTGAGGAAGGCTTGCCTCGAGCGCTGGGGGGTGAGTTGCCACCTCCTTGCCAAGCCTTTCCCGACTCACGGCATACACCAAACAAGACTTAATCAACTATATTCTTCTCCACAGCTTCTAAACCAGTGCCTGCCCCTCTCCACTCTTGTCCCGTGTACCGCATTCTCGTTCCAGATACCGGACAAAGCACGAGTTGCTCGCCCCATGAACGACCCCAAATCCAAGTTTGCGGAGCTCATTGAGGTTCGTTGACATTCACCAGCGGACACTTTTAACCTCTCTTGGCAATTTGGAGTTTGTCTTCACGATCTTCTCCACTCACTCCTGTCCTGGGCCACCATCTCCACATCCACTCCATAACCATTCATATCCTGGTTCACCACTTGGAACCACCATCTCCAGGCCTCTCAGTCTCGACCCCAGTGCTTCCATGTTCATCACCTTTCTTCCGATGTGGTTTTCGTCTCTTACGATATCGCTTAGTCGCCTTGGATACCCCCCCCTCCCCCTCTCTTGCCTTCTCCACGTCTCTTCATTTTGCTTCCTGAGATCCATCTCGTCATCCTCATTCCTGTGGTGGACAACATTGCTCCATCCTGAGTCCAACATTCAGACCTGCATGTGAATACTGGTCTTACAGATGCTACTAACCTCTATAGTAGTAGGGGTACAGGAATTGTGCATTTCACTCTTGACCCCTGTGGCTGATGGCCATATAAAGCAGTCAATTTCATGAGAAGAAATAAATAAGGTGTTGTTTCCAACCAGCCACTGATATTGATGGCACAAATAACTAAAATCCTCATTCAGGAGCACTACACATAATCTAAAATGAATTTTCTAAAATATACAGGTGAATAATAAAGTAATAAAATAATCACTTCAATGAATACATTTATCGACTTTGGTGCAATTACGTGTTTGTAACACTGGTTAGCGGAGGGCTGTTAACGAAATTAAACGCGTGGAATAAAAAAACACAGAGTCAAACAGATGAACAACAGCAGCAGCAGGAGAACGGCATGCAATTACGAAAGGCGCAGTATTTAGTCTGCAGCGAGTTTTTTTTAGCATCATGTCCAACACTTCTCGGAACCCTTCGCCCCTCCTGCTCGGGCTGGGCGTTTGACCACATGACCACCCCCGTCACCTTCAAGCATTGCCCGTGCTTGGATCTCACTGCCCCTGTGCACAACAAACATGTGGCCTGAAACAACACTACTGCCAAGACCCAACGCAGATTCACCCATTATTGTGCCTCCCTGCTGCAGGCCAACCTCGTACCTCGATACCTTGCCCTGTCTCGACATGCCTTTTCGCCGATGTTATTTCATGTGCTCTCGGGTCTCGGCAACATGTCAGGAGAACAAGTGCCCATTCACAACTCACGCAGAGTAGTGTATCACCCTGTGAGTTAATAGAGCAGCCCATTGAAAGATATAGCACAGAACTGTATTTGAGAGTGCTTCAAGTAACAAAATTTGAAGACTGATATATATATATTTTTTTTAATTTTCAGAGCTGGAATTTGGCCCAATGAAGTAAAAAAAAAGTCAAGTTTAAAAGCTAAATGTGGTGTTTTATTTTGAGCAATTGTTGACCTGGATAAGGCTGTTAGCTCACTACACTTGAGAACCCATGTTAATCACAGGCGGCTGAAACCCATATTTGAACAAAACATATCTTAGTAATCTTGACTATGCGCTCGAAACTCTGAGCTACCCAGTCACCTCCATCTCAATATTTTAAGATACATTTGTATGATGAGGATCCCGAGTGCATTAGCTATGCCTGTGTCAGACCACAGAGCTAGCATAGCTGAGATTCTGGGTTCATACAGCGTAGCTACATGTATTACATCTGCATACTGTACTATACGGGTAATAGAAAAAAGTATGTAGACCTGGCCGACAGCCCTACTCCCAACACCCCCATCCCCCCTCCCCCAGGTACCCTCCCTTGTGTGGGACAGCCCCCAGGCGCTCCACCCCCTCAAGCAGCACCCCCACAGCCGCCTCTCCCCACCTTTCGCACCCTTTCCTTGGCCTCACCCACTCTCCCCCCTTCTCCCCGAGCACACCCCTCCTCGCAGCGTGAACCCTTGTGTTGGCACCCGTGCAGCCCCTCCTCTTGCCCCCCACCACCTCCCCCTCACGCCCCCACCCCCCGGGACGAACGATGGCAGGTGAGAGCCCAATGAAGGAAAAGTCTCTTTTGCCAAGAAGACCTGGCTTCCAAATTACAGGTAGTCACCTGGCATGAACCCAGTTTCTCAAATCTTAGGAGCCGATGTCAGCCCAATCAGTCACAAGTGACAAGATGTAGCATCTTATGCAGTTTTGTTTTTGAAATTAATTTTGGCCAAACTCTCTTTTGAAGTTCTCAATTAGTAACTGACAGTCGCGTGCAAAATACCACTCGCAAACAAAATGAAATGGAGCACCACCAGAAGGCATTCAATTGTGTTGATCACCATCATCTGGGACAGAGTGATTTTCTTTGCTTCCTTGCAAAGAAAATCACTCTGTAGACTGGCTTAAATAGCCTTAGTGGGCTATCAATAGGTGACGTGGGATCTTGTTAACTTGTATGCGAATGCCTTGTGTGGAAACACGGAAGTTACCTTGCTTAATTCCCGCCCGTTTGCTACCAACCTGTCCGGTTTTATCATTCCCTGTGTCCCTTCCCTCCCAAAGCAGGAAAAGGACGTGGAAAGTTTTGGGCGTCAACCACTGGCGCTGACGTCCAAGTCGATGGAAAAGTTGCGGCCCGTGCTGGACTACCGCTGCATGGTGGCTGGAGGGGAGCATATCTTCCTGATGGGCCTGGGGGTCAGTGGTGGCATTGGCACTGACGTGGGGGTCGTGGGGTTCGCTCAGCATGGGTTCACAATTGATTTGCTGCTGACGCTGTGAGTGGTTTATGCCAATTCTGGCCAGATAATAGCAGTTCACCCTGCCTTGAGCATTAAAATGTTTTAACGATTTCAGTTCACAATTTTATTTTCGAATTGGCAGGGAATTTTTGTCCCATATTTTTTAACCCATCGGTATTGTATCTATTTTTTTCTGTCTTATACAGTTTTGTTCACTCCCTTAAGCGAGGCCACAAAATGTTTTTTTGAGGCTCAGAGCCGAATGGAAAATGACCCCTTTTAAGGCCCTCTCAGCTCTGAGGCCCAGAGTTACACCTCCATGTCCTGCCAATCCTGCCCGCCATCCATTAGCCTGAATGTAACAGCATATAATTTGTATATAATTAGCAACCGTTGTCAGTTGTGAATTCTCACACGATTCAATTTTGCGTAAGAATCGATTTTACTTGAATTTGTTGATCGTTGTGCGCCTCGTAGATCAGCTCTAAGACAGACGGAGTGCATGGGGACAGTTGTTTTACATTTATGCATTTATTTTTCTGTGAACTGTACATATTTGTGTAGCAGATGTCGTTTTTGGATGGAACCCATTCATCTGAATGGAGCCGTTGTGGTTAAACAACAGTTAAAAGTAAATGGGGTCCAAGGGTTATTGAGTTTTTATTTTGTACTGACCATAAATAATAAATATGACTTATTTGCAAAAAGTATGATTTTCCATTAAGTAATTTACATAACATCTTTGGACATCCTGCATTTTTACAAAATGAAATATACAAATATGTTGAACTTTTGCATAGCTATGTTTAAATACGTGCCATGTTTGTTTAATATAGACAATGATTCATCCCAGTCATTATAGGACTTCACTATACAGAGGTTGCGATGTGATTTGAGAATCAATAACTTGTAATCTAATTTTTATTGTTCAATTTATGATATGAAAAAAAAACAATTCTGTCTCGTTTGTATAATTTTGTTTGATGTTAGTCTAACCTCGATCTAATTTATATAAATCGTAAATTATACTATCTTGAACTTCCCATTAAGTAATTGGTTGTAAAATTTTCAGCATTGAAATGTTTGGCCAATACCAGTTAACCCTTTCCCCTTCCGAGACGTCTGCAAGTTGCAGGGTGGGTCCCGTTCACCGCTGAATTTCGGAACGCGCAAGCATTTAGCGTTAATTTTATTTAGATAGGCAAAGCGCTGTGGTTTTTATAGACATTTTACTCACCGCAGAGAACTGTAGCGACACGACTGGACAACCAGCACCTAACTATGCCACACACCCTCCTGCATAGCCTTTTACACGTTAAACGTATGTGTACGTTGTCGGAACGGAATCGGAAGAAAAACTGATGACGTACATGTAGATGTACGTCATCGGAATGGGAAAGGGTTAAATTATTTGTTTTTGAGCTATGGGATGAAACCAGGAAACCTGGAGGAAACCCATGCAGAACAGGGGGAGAACATACAAACTCCACACAGAAAGGGGCCCGAGTTGTGAATCGAACCCAGGACCTTGCCGTGATGCACAACTGTTACCACTGCGTTGCCACCCTGCCACTCCGCACCTCCGATTAGCACAGCGGAAGACGTTCAACATACCTACACGCAAAACTGTGAACTCGGCATTGTCTGTGCAGTCACCTGAGTCAAGTTTTCTCGTGCGCTCATGTCTCCCAGAAAACCCAGATCTACAGCTGGGACGGGAGGCAGCCCGTGCGGTGGCGCAAACCGGAGGGGCTGCGCACAGAGCTCCCGCGCGACACACTGCTGCTCGTCGAGACAGTGCAGGAGCTCCGTGGAGAGGTGCGTGACTCCCATGTGTGCGCGCGCGTGTCTGCATGTGGGGTAGTGTGGGGAGCGGTGGCGCAGTTGTTAGCGTGTGCTGCGCTACGAACCCGGCGACCTAAGTTCGATTCCCGCTCACGGCCAACACAAGCGACGATTATCTGAACTGATCCTGTGCCTCCCCATAAAATCGACTCATCCTTAAAGAGTACCTGGTGGCAATGTGTAAACATGGGTAAACATTGCAACTAGAGATACAAAGGCGGGCGGGCATGGTGTTGGTCACCCACACTCTTCGTGTACCGTGTCAGCCTTCATAGGTGCTCACTACACTAACAGTACTTTCCCCAACAATCCGTTCCGGCTGAAAGGGGATCTTTCTTTTTGGGGGTGTGTGCACTGTATGGGCATGTCTACATGCACATGTGTGCGTGTGAGCATGTGTATTTGTGTGTGGTGAGCGGTGGTGTAGCCGGTTGGCATACTGTGCTTCAAACACAGTGACCCAATATAGATTCCCACTCACGGCTAACATCAGTGACATATATCTGAACCAGTCCTGTTTCTCCCCTAGGTCAAGTCAGCCTTCAATGAATACCTTGTGCCGTGTGTAAACAATGACAGCCAGACGTGGTGCTAGCCACAAACCCACTCTTGGGCACCATGCCAGCTTTCATAGGTGCTCACAGCATGTGCCCCAACAGCCTATAAGGCTGTAGGTCTGTGTGTACTTCTCATGACCCGTTGACCAAGTTTGGAGTTCCCAATATAGTAACCTTTTTATATTCGAGCTTCCATTTGGCAAGCGTGCATTTCTATGGGCTAACAACAGCGTTGGCAGTGTTACCACAGCTCAGAGCCCTGCGCTGTGGTGCACGCTACAGAGCTTGTGACGCCATTTGGAGCGGCAAGCCATTATTGCGTGCCATTGTTGCGGTTACGCACCCCCACTTCCCGCCTGTGAAAAAAACGATCCCCCAATAAATGATGTAAAAATTCTGTGGACCGACCGTGAGTCAGTACGAGCTAGTAGATCGTAGATTCCTCTTGCAGAGGAGAGATCGGTTTGCAGCAGCTCTCGCCAGGTTCAACTAAAACCTGCACCCAGGCCTACCCACACTCTGTCCAACATGAGGTTGAAGCTTGTTAATGAGAAAGGACTGAAATCAATCGGATGCCTAAACGGGCACTTGAGTAATGCACTGCATTGGCATTGCATTCAAACGTCGGGGAGTGGTGTCATTAGGAAGATCACTACAGTGTCATAATAATGTTTGATCACTACTTTAAAGTATTTTTTTTCTCTCACTAATGAGACGTACAACTTATATCAGACAGCTCAGGACACACTGGCTTAGGCATGTATCTATAATGAGCTGTTTGTTTTGGATTGAGTCTTCTTTAAATAAACGTCACTCAATGGCGTGACTTGTGTATGTGTGTGTCATTTTATGCGGCGTGCATTTGATTCCCGGTCGTTGCCCAACATCAGTGGCAAGTGATGTGAGAACCGGTCCTGAATCCTCTTCCGAGGTCAGCTCAGCCTTATACGAGTACCTGATGCGGTGCGGTGTCTAACCATCAGCGCTGGAGAAATGTAGGCGGCCAACCAAGCCATACCACCCCCTCTATTACCGTGCCAGCCTTAATATATCTCATGGCAGTTGCTCCAACAATAGATGTAGGCTACTTACAGGAACTTTGCCTCTGCAGGGGAGAGCACAGAGAAGAGTAACGGCCATTCACATCCTGGACGCGCTCATCCTGTGCGGCACAGACGTGCGGAGCGAGCACTTCAACCTGCGGTGCGTGAGACGGGCTGGCCCATACTATGCGATATAATGTCTCACAATATGATATCGAACTTCATACGATAAGATATTATACTTCATACCATACGATATCACACTGCCCATGATACGATATTATATTGCAATATACACGATATGATGTTACACTTCACATGATACGGTGTCACACTTCACGGTGTGACGATTATCACGATATCAGTTTCCCATAATTTGTCATTGTATTTCACATTTCTTTCATCTTGTTTCTGTGTTTTGTTGTACTTTCTGTACAATTCAGGGTTACTTAAACATTTATTTAAAAAGCTGCTGGATAATGGCCTCTATACGCTGTGCGGGTCGTGAAGGTTATATGACCAGACTTCACGATGCTGGTTCAATTTTTATTTAAAGCTTTCGTGACTGCAGGGATTCATATTCTTGGTTCTTTCGGTAAAGTCACGTAGAAGGGAAACAATAAAATAATAAAAATATAAAACAAAATTCTCACGACGTTTCGACTGCAACACAAGCAGTCAGCATCAGGTGTGAAAACGTGACTTAACCGAAAGAACCAAAAAGATGTTGGTTCATATGGGTTGGTGGCAGTGAGGGATAATTAGACGTGGTAGCATTGAAGTACAGTACAACTGTGGATATCGCCACACTTTCCCCTGCTGCCCACCACATAGCCCAACACATTTGACAATCTGTCAGATACGCCCCACTAAATATGCGCACATTGTTATGAATTGCAACGGTCAGTTGTGCCATTACGATTGCAATTGTAAACTTCGAGGTGAAGAGAAATACGAAAAATAATATTTTATTCCATTAATTTAACCAGGAAAGCCTCACCGACTCTCAAGACTTGTATCCTTTAACAAGTGTTTGGCATGTGGGAAAAAAAAACACACACGTAAAAGTTTTGTACACGGGAATTAAAGAATTCATTGCTGTACAAGCATCTCCTCGCCACATCGCTTCCAAAGGCTACAGCACCTGGTATTCCCGGGCAGTCTCCCATCCAGGTTCTCACCATACTTGACTTTCCTGCTTGCCCCCTGCGGATGTTTGCGTGCAGGATGCAGATGGCTGAAAAATTTGTCAAAGCCATCGCGAAACCCAGCCGCTCAGACATGAATCCAATACGGTGAGTGACATGTGATCGTCTTTGTGTGTATGATTCTGCTTGCCTTGGTGTGTCTGTCGTTATGTTTGTATGTGTTATTGTGATGGGGAGTGGTAATGTGGTTTTAGCGGTAGTGCAGCGGTTAGCAAGCTGTTCAACGAACCCAGCGACCTGGGTTCGATCCCTGCTTACGACCAACATCGGTGACAAACATCTGAATGGCTCCTGCACCTTTCCTAGGTCGACTTCTTAAATGAGTACCTGGTGCTATGCGGACACATCAGCACTGGAAAGACAAAGGTGGCCTGGCATGGTGCTGGCTACCCCCCCCCCCTCGTGTGTCGTTCCAGCCTTCATAGGTGTTCACTAGCAGCACTTGCCCCAACATTCTGTTAAAGGCTACACGGGAGATCTTTGTGTTCACTTTGTTTGGCTTTTATGTCTGTTTTTTGGTTCTCTTTGGTGTGTTTTTTGTTTGTTTATCCGCATCACCAGTGGAGACATAAAGGTTACTGGGTGTGGTCCTGGCCCACATCACGATTTTGTGAGCCACCAGGCTAATCATCGTGTTTGTGGCATGCACTTGGGTATGGAAATAAATAAAACCTGAATGTACAATAATAAATAGCAGCAGACAAAATTTCAGTGAACTGTTGGTCCTGTTGACTGTTACAGCTTAAACACATTCAACAACTTAAACACTCCTAAACTTGCATCGCTAATTCTTTTTCTGAAATCCCCTTCATTATCCTGCTGAAAAGTTTGTTTCCTTCGCTGTGTACCTGCCTCATTATTTGTGAATACATGGGCTGCCTGCCTGGGCATTCAGACATACAGGCTGACTCGAAGCCACTTACATTTGTGTCTCAATAAATTAAGGACAGGTGTATGCTAGAGTATCAACAGCAGTCATGACATCACCCACCACTGCATCGAGAGCACTAGAGCAATACTCAAACCAGGCCCTGGCCACGGTAACAGCATTGAATGCCACAAAGGCACCAGGCTCAGGGCAGTCAAAAGGTTTTTGGTGGCCTTGGTATAAAATGACAGTTGAGCGACTGTCAGTCCTTTTCTAGGTCCTCCATCTGAGGCCTATTCAGCCCTTTCTGAAGCTCCCTCAGATCTGAGTCGCCGGAGAAGACTGCCTCACATGGCTCATTTACCCGGGCATCCCTGCAGCGCTAGCCACATGGCGAGTCAGGTGTCGGCTCGGAGAACAGGTTGGTGCAGTGCTGGCTGTGTGTGATGCGTGCAGGGTGAAGGAGCGATACCGCCTGGAGGAGATCGACCGCGTGTTCCTCAGGTGTGAGATGCTCGCCTGCCTGCATCTCGTGTGCCACGGCTCGGCGCGGTCGTTCCCTCGGGGAGGGGACTGACTCGGCGCGACTGTGAAAAAAGCGATCAGATGACCCCGATACGGCGCAGGATTACGAATCTGCACCAGTGGCGTAGCATGCTTTTGCGATCATCTGGAACGCTCTTCCTTCCGATATTAGGAAGCCACTGGAGCTATGCACTTTTAAATAATCTAGATTGAAAACTCATTTCTTTACAACTTCTTTTTGTGTTTAGTTTGTTGTCCTTCCCCCGCACTTCCGATTAGCACGCTACGTAGGGTGCAAAAGAAGTTCAACGAATGTATATTCATTAGGCCGCCAGTGCTGCTGTGTGAAACAAAGCTGACCCTTACTTCCAACCCCGGCCAAACGGACTATTAACTTGGGAGAGAAAACAGAGGCTTAGTCAATCTTTTTGACCTCTCCTTGACGCGCATTGCCAGAAACTTTAGCTTCGTACTGTATATATGTATATATTGTTATTGCAAGGCAAAGTCATAGATGAACGTGGTGACTTTATGTTATTGGAGCGTGACTTTTTACACAATTCCTATTTTATTATTTTGCGACCTTAATTCTAGCCCCCCGAGCAAGCCTTGCTCTTAATGCAGGCTCCATCTAGAACAGTCCTAACCCCCACGAAGTCTATTCTAATTATACCAAGTATTTTCCTAGTCCTGTTATAGGTGAGGGGTTTAATTCCCCCACCAACTGTTGCCAGCACCACTATTAGAAATTCAAATGAGAGTTATGAAATCTTCATCATCATCATAGCGGTTGGACCTGCATGGTTCGTGTGTGCATGTGTGGACATATACGTGTCTAGATTTGAAGCTTTCGTGACTGCAAGGATTCATACTCTTTGTTTTTTTCGGTAAAGTCACGTGACTTTACCGAAAAAACTAAAGAGTATATACGTGTCTGTAAATGAGTGGGAGTATAGTGCTTAGCATGCTGCATTATGAACCCGGTGACTCGACTTTGATTGCAGCTCACGGCCAGCACCAGTGACGATTATCTCAACCGGTCCTGGGCCTCCCCTGGGTTGACTCGGTCTCAAATGAGTACCTGGTGCGATGTGTACATGTCGACACTAGGAAGACAAAAGTAGCTGGGCATGATGCTGGCCACCCACCACCTTCAAAGGTTCTCGCTAACAGCACTTGCCCGAACAAGCTATACGAGGGATCTTTGGCCTTTTTGTGTGCGTGTGCAGCATGCTTGCATTTGTTAGCGTGTGTAGGAGCAGTGGGTACTCGCTGGCAGCACTTGCCTCAACAGTCTGTTAAACCTATACAGGGATCTTTGTCTTTTTATGTTTGGGAGCAGTGGATAAGGCAGTGCACTATGAACACACCAGGTACTAATTTTAAGGCTGAGGTCGACTCAGCCTTAAATGTGTACCTGATATGTGTATACATCACTACACACGGTACAAAGGCGGCTGGCCTTCAAAGGTGCTCGCTAACAGCACTTGCCCCAACAGTCTGTTAAGGCGACACGGGGGGGGGGACTTTGTCTTTTTGGGTGCGTCCAGACTGGAGATGAAGGTGACCAAGGGTTCCGGCGGGATGCCAAAACTGTCGTACACAGGACAAGACGACCGCCACTTCCTCCCGTCGGGCCTCTACTTTGTCCGCACCACACGGGGTGGGTCGAGCAGACAGGGCCCGTGCCCACGGTTATCCAAGATGAGAGGAAAATCGGATATAAGCCAAACATAAGACGCTTTAGACTTGATTCGAAGCTTTCGTGACTGCAGGAATTACTCTTTGTTTTTTTCGGGAAAGTCACGTATAAATGAGAAATAATAAAATAACATAATAGCGTACGACGTTTCAGTTGCAACACAAGCAGCCATCATCAGGTACAGAAGAGCTAAATTTACGAGAGAGAGGAAACGCATAACCCCAGATGTATATACAGGCACCCAAGTAGGGGGAACTAACACAGATACAACAGGGGACACAGAGAGAGAATCACACCAAACAATCGGTTTAGCAAAATTTGGAAACCATATAAAGCAACACAGACGGTCGGTCAAAACACAACGCATAGTCTGGTTGATTACGCTATTTCAAAGATTGCTAAATTGCAAGTTAAGTATGAAATTTTAAAATACAGACCGCACACACACACATAGACATCCAAGCAGAGCGAACCAGCACAGAGTGAAGTCGCCTTAAATAGGCAGAGAAGGTAAGGCTGAGAGACAATGGGACAAATTAGCATGAGGTATGTATGGAGCAAAGGGGGGCGCGGAAAGTGCGGAGCAGCAGCACACACTCGAAAACACCAAGGCCCACACACAGGCAGAGACAGCACAGAGACACAAATCCAAGCCAAGACAATGCTAATTTGTCCCATTGTCTCTCAACCTTACCTTCTCTGCCTATTTAAGGCGACTTCACTCTGTGCTGGTTCGCTCTGCTTGGATGTCTATGTGTGTGTGTGCGGTCTGTATTTTAAAATTTCATACTTAACTTGCAATTTAGCAATCTTTGAAATAGCGTAATCAACCAGACTATGCGTTGTGTTTTGACCGACCGTCTGTGTTGCTTTATATGGTTTCCAAATTTTGCTAAACCCTGTTTGTTTGGTGTGATTCTCTCTCTGTGTCCCCTGTTGTATCTGTGTTAGTTCCCCCTACTTGGGTGTCTGTATATACATCTGGGGTTATGTGTTTCCTCTCTCTCGTAAATTTAGCTCTTCTGTACCTAATGATGGCTGCTTGTGTTGCAACCGAAACGTCGTACGCTATTATGTCATTTTATTATTTCTTATTTATACGTGACTTTCCCGAAAAAAACAGAATAAGACGCTTAGCCAAACCACAGCACTTTAATCTGAAAACTCCATACTTGAATAATAAGGACCTTTCAAGTCACCACGCCAAAATGTCCTCCACTATATTTGTTTCAGTGTTTCCTGTGAAGGTGATTTTGCTAATTTCATTTGTTTTATAGGCTTTTTTAAATGCTTGTGTGTGTGTGTGACTCAGGGGCTCATGAGCACCTGTGATATGCATGAGAGATTTGGAGTCTCTTATTTTTTGGTTATGATTAATATGTTGATGATGACGAAGAAGAATATACTTTAGATGATCATAATGGTGGTGGTGAAGATAATGACGTTTATGTTGATGGTGGTAACGCTGATGACGACGACGATGATGATGCCTCCATTGTGCGAGTGACCGCAGACCCCTGGTGTATGGCGTACAGCAAGAACTCTCGCATGAAATACTTCTTCAACCGAGAGAAGAACCAGTCCACGTTCGAGATTCCGCCCGAGTCTGTGGCCACCTTCAGGTGAGGCTGCCGGCACAGGCCAATCAAGTGCGCCGCCAACCCCGAGGCGTGCTCGCCCAAGCGGCGACACGGGAACATTCCCCGGGTTAATCATCGCGAGATCTTAAACCCTAGCACAGGCCAGTGACCTTTAGATAACAGCCCATCCTCTCACCCCACCCCTCCCCATGCACCTTGTGATGAGATTGCCACTTAAATCAACCTGATTGTCACAACAATAATAATTATCCCGAGTTATATTTGCAGGGTTCTGCAAGTTTGGTCCGGTCCATTTGTGAATGCTTTGTCTCATTTGGGATGAAACCGGGGTGAATGGAGAAAAACACCACGCGTACCAGGGCATCACAATCAAAACTCCGCTGCCATCTATTGGTTACCTCACACTACGAGTCTATAACAGCAAAATGTTCCCCAGCAATCTCCCATTGCAATGCCTGTGTCTCAATAAACATGGGGCTGATAGCTAAACAAGCGAAAGAAAATCATTTTAAAAATTGTTCACACTTTGAGCCAGCTTAATCCAAATTGTAAGGGAAAAGTTTCATCTAACAGTGGCTAGGGAATGGACCTGCTGATTGTCACTTTCATACAGAGAATGTGTTGTTTAATTGGAATCGACCGTTGGTTGTTCCGTGCGTGGACCACGTGCTGTCACGCGCGTGTCTCGCACAGCGACTGCCACGCGACACGGCTGCTGTGGAGCTGGGCGGACGCGCGGGTGCATGACTCGCAGGCCGCCACGCCACACCCCGACCACCTCAATAAGGAGGACGTGCTCCAGTTTGTGCGCGAGCACTACCGCCCCTGACGGAGCCTTACGTCCGTTCACGCCCCCGCGGGCACCCTACGTCTCGACCGTGCCGTCTCCACCGGGCCCGCCGACTCGCCCAGCCTCACCACGCTCTCAACATCCACGGCAATCCAGCCTTCTATTACGTATCGTCCCGGCGGCGAACAGAAGCCGCTGGGTGGCGCGGCCTAGCACCAGCATCGCCGTAGCGTGGGGGCGTGAGCGTTCGAAGCGTATGCGGGAGCATCGTGCATGAGACGACCATGCGGTTCCCAGCCCTGCTCGCCGGGTAGCCATGGTAATGAAGTCGGTAATCTCCACAGAAGTGTTTCTGTCTCCCAGGGACAGCCGCGGCTTGTGGTGAATGCAGGACGCCATCTTAAAAGTATCTTGTCAATCCTGAGAGTAAAGCGTGGGAATTAAAATCGGCGTCAGGGTGTTGATGTATATTCCATAAACATGCATGACTGAAATTTTCATTCGTCCGTGGCAAACTTACAAACGCACGAGGGACATCTTGTGTTCGTGGGCTGCACTTTCTAATTGCGTTGCACGCGGAAGCACGGAGCTTTAGTTGGATCCCTGGAGGCACTCAAGAAATGACCGCTCTGCACTCTGCACACACTGCCGTCGAAGAGATTGGAAGTGACTACTGAGGGACCGTGGCTTAGTGATGGCCACATTCTTCATGGACCACTGGTAGAGGGGCGCCCGAGGCCCTGCAACATGAACACTGAGTAGGCAGCTGCTTGGCTTGCTGATCACGCCGTTTCTCTTGTACATAATTTAATTGCTTTTAGAAAGAACGTGACTTTTTTTTACTGCGTTGACATAGTTTCTATAAATGTACTCGCGTGATTTTAAATCCCCTTACATTCGAAAGTCGCTGTGTTGGGAGTGTTATTGGGGCAGCATGCGTGTGGCATTTAATTAAACTGCGATTCATTTTGTTTATTTTACCCTAGTCTAATGGCTCTTTTCTGGCTTATACACCTACATGCACGTACCAAACGCCTACTTGTGCTCCCTCTAGTATGCGATATCCATGCGTGCCTGTCCGGAGCTTTCGAAGCAAACTTGTGCAAAACAAGTTACAGGAATCAACAAGTGTTTTCTATCGAGATACTGAGGAAACTCTTCCTTAAAAGAGTGTGTGTCTTAAAGCATCACACATGTACGATTTAATGATGGTTCGTGTCTGCAGTTTAAGAAGACCCAAACTCTGCCTCTGGTTTTTCAGTCTCGGGTGATAGATCATGTCGGGTGTTTTAATGAAGAAACTGGAACCATTTGGTAGTGACATCATCATCAGCGCTTTCTCCACCAGACAAACGCTCGCAGCGCACGCAGCTTCCCAGGAGAACCGGTCTGGTGGAGCCCAGCACTGGTGCATCATCACCACCACCGCCATCAAGCTGCCTTTGCATTTCAATGACAAATCACACCGCCTGCACGTGTCACCCGAGAGTGGGAATGGTGTGAGGTAGAGTTTAATGCCTCCGCTGCCTGGATGGAGTCGCCTGCCGCCATCGTCCGTAGCTGCGATGCCCCAACTGTAGGACCCATCAAGCCATCGTGAAGGTGCAAAATGTGCGTCCGTCTGTCACGAAACTAGCGGCCACCTCTCGGCCACGCGCCGAAACAATAATCCTTAAATCCGGTTTTAATCTCGGCACAAACCAGTTGGCGTGTAACACTTTCCCCACTGTCCTGCCAGTCAGTCTTGTGGCAGTCCTTTGGGGCACGTTAGCTGTTTGTTGGCAGGGTATGACCGTGTGAGTGTGTTTCTTGTTGTGAGCTCAGGTTCATCAGGGTAAAATTCAACCAGAATAATGCATCGAGCAAGGTTGCGTAAGCGTTTGGTCGCATGAGACAAATGCTTCAGAATGCACCTTATAGTTTATGGTTATACCAATGCAAAACTCGGACATAGTGATAACCATCTGTTATGTCGATGTCCAAATAATGCTATATGAATATGCCGTACACGATGGTGGAACGGCTAACAGAGTGGACAGAAATAAAACGATAAGTATTAAAACAAATCTTAACGGAGGTGGGGAGAGCAGTCAGGGGAAGCAAATGAAAGTGCAGGAACGATCGCAGGGTGCCAAGCGCACTGCGCTAAAGACCTGGCGACGTGCGTTCTATTTCCGGCCACAGCCAACATCAGTGGCGAGAGATATGTGAACCAGTCCTGTACCGCTCCCATACCGTGTCAACCCATACGGTTTACCCATATTCTTGAACAGGGAAATTGAGTTTTCAGGTCCATACGGTGTACAGCCGTTTCAATATGGGCAATTTTTTTTGTCAATTTGTGTTTTTCCCTTATGATGGGGTTTTGTAGGATGAACGTTGAGATTCATAAGGGCACGGGGTGACCAATAAGGTCTGGATTGGTCTCTAATAAGGTAGGACACTGATAAGGGGTTGATAGTTGTGCGCTCCCTTCACCAACCCGCACGGACCAGCACGGTGAAGTATGGTCAGGCCACCGTCATTACCAGAATGGTGTGGTGTGACGTTCATCGAGGTGTTTGGTTGACAAACTGCTGTAAATCATTCGTGTACCTGTTATTCGTGATAGGAGTTGGATTAGAGAGACGAGAAAAGGAGTGAAAATTGTCTGCCGCATAGATTTGCACGGGGGACAGCAGTGCAGACCAACAGCAGACGCGAGCTGCAGACAGTGGGGGGAGCAGCAGAGAAGGAGAATGAGCGAACATCCATTGATTGGGGGTTGATTTGCTGGGCTGCTGGATAGGAGGGCGGCAGTTCGAGAGATTTAAACCAAAAAAGATATATTTTATTTTACCATGTAAGGCCCACTGAGCTATTATGAACAAATGATAGCTCAACGAAGTGGCTTATCACGCGGAAATGTATAGCAGCCAAATCCTCTATACGACATGTTGATTCTAAATGTGGAGGGGAACAACCGGAGGACCCGAAGCTAAATCCACGCGACCACGGGGAGAGAGAGAGACGCGCAAACTCCAAATTCACAGCAGGCGTCGGGGTTGGCATCGAGCCCACCTCCTCCACACCAGGCGAGGGAGTTAACATCTAGCCAGCGTGGCGCCCCTTATGAGCCCGTGGAGACCGGCGGAGTGGCGCTAGCGGGGCCACCGTGACACCCTCGGGTTCTCTGCCCTGCGGTGTCGCGCGATCGGCGGCCACTGCTCCTCCTCCTCTTCACTGGGAGCCACCGTGGCGCGGCGCCGCGTGGAATGAGCTCGCGTGCCGCACGCCCGGACGTCGAATTTCTCAAACAACCGATTCGGTGACGCTGCCTCCTTGGTTACTACTACTCTACGTGACGAACACATTAAATGCGCCAACAGTGGTTGACCCAACATCGGCACGTGGTTGTAACCGTTGAACCAATATTGGACCAGTATTGGTCCAACGTTCCATGTTTACCGGGAAGGGCCATTGACCGAAACGTCGAATTCTGTTTTTGTTCTGTTTTTTTCTTAAGGTAGCGTCACAATCGACGAGTATTTGTTTCCGCTCATTGCTTGGCGCGAATACCAACACTGCCAACGCTGCTGCTGCTTGTGAGTCGATGATCGCGCGTCCTTGCAGTCCGAGTGTGGCACCGGTTGCGAAGTTGGTGGTGTGGGGGGGGGTGCAAAGGTGGAGAGGGAAGGGGGGGGGGCGGTATCGGCGTTGTTCTTTAGGGGGGCGGGTGTGCTACACGTATTGGTTGTTTGGGGGCGCGCGCGTGTGTGTGCATGCCATGACTGAGTGGAGTGGCGTGTCGATTGTTGGGTCGTGTGTCGCGGCGCGTGTGCCGCTATTGTTGGACGTGTGCGGCTGTGGATTGGTGTGGGAAGGGGTGTGTCGTGGGGACGGCTCCGTTGGTTGGCTCCCCTCGTGAGCTGTCCGTCCCCTGACGACCGCGCCGGCCTCTTTCCATTCTCGGACTTGGCGCAAACAGCGCGGGGCTGATGCCAGCTACTCCGTGCCGCGTTACGTGCAGAGGGGCAGGCGGGGGGGCGGGCGGGCGCGTGGGTGGTGGAGCGAGGGTGGAGGAGTGGGCGCGTGGGTGGAGGAGCGAGGGTGGAGGAGCGTGGGTGGAGGAGCGAGGGTGGAGTAGCAGGCGCGTGGGTGGTGGAGCGAGGGTGGTGGAGCGAGGGTGGTGGAGCGAGGGTGGGGGAGCGAGGGTGGAGGAGCGAGGGTGGTGGAGCGAGGGTGGTGGAGCGAGGGTGGTGGAGCGAGGATGGAGGAGCGAGGGTGGAGGAGCGCGCGCGTGGTGCGTGCGGCAGTCGCCTTCAGTCGCTGCCGCACGCAATTCAAACGTTCTGTGGCGGTAACACTGCGACGCTGTGCTTCCACATTGAAGTTCAGTTGGAGAAATGCCTCCACTTCTATACAAATGATTCCCTTTCATTCAATGCGTATTAAAAACATTGTCAACAAATTCGTGGTGTTCAGTGGCAGACTTTTTAAAAGACGGTTTTGATGCATCATTTTTTTTTACAACATTACAGTACACTGTGCTATGAAATAGGCAAATTATCCGAAACGTCGGCTGCTATATTTTTTTTTTATTTTAAGGCCACTGTGTTATTGACGAATGCATTTTTGACATTTTTTTTAGTTTGTTCAATGTAATTTTTTTTGTTACCGGAACAGCACTGGAGATAAATGTTTTGAGTACAGAACACATCCCATAGATGCCGCGTCCTCCAGCAGAATCTAGCGGCAGCCCTCGCTGCAACCGGCCGAGGTGAAGAGGCATTGGGGTCCTGGATGCTCTACTCGGAACGCCACGATCCATGTTACTGGCTGCACCACTCTCGGTCCTGTGTCTCATGCGTTTTATTGCCTACAGCTTCCAGTCTCCTTTCTCACTCAATGTACCTTGGCAATGCCAGTACGCTATTTTTTACCAACACAAATTAACGTGTGTGTAGTCAGCACAATAATTAATATTAAGCGACGTTTTAAAATCAATTATGTAATCTTTATATGCCTGACGGTTGTTCAAACCTGACCACCTATTCCCGGCCGCTCTAGCAGTTTTAACGATGGAGATTTATAGGGGAAAGACAACTCAACACATTCGTCAACAACACTATGGTTTGACATGTACAACAGTCGACGTTTTGGGCAATGTCCCTTTTTCACAATGAGTGTTTTTTTTTCTGTTGTGCTTGTGCAACCACTGCCAACGCAGCAGCAGCAACATCACCAACATGTTTTTTTTATTTCGATATCTGGCAATAGAGTGATTTTGTAAAAGTTTATAGCCTTGTTTTAACTCATGAGCCATATGCTGTACACACACGTGTCAGGAAAGCACTGCGAATTCAAAGCCGTGGTTATTTTTATTCTGGCTGATGGCTGATGCAATAATGCCAACGGGTTGGCATTATTGCATCTGAGCGAACTCTGTTGAGTGGGGGGGGGGTCTGACCACGCGAGCACGTTGAACCTATATAGGTCATTATTCTGGTATCCGTTCAAACTTTCCCTTTACAAAACGTATCGCTCAATGAGAAACATTCGTCAAGAACACTCCTTAAAATGCCACCGCTCCCGAACACCTCTTATTTAACGGGTTTTTGTTCTTCCTTTTAAGGCCACGCGGTTGCATTCACGACTCTGCTGAGTATGAACGGTTCTTGTGCTTGAGTGACGCAGCAACAGGAGCATCAGATAATTTGTTACATTTGAACGGAGCAGATTTAGGCAACTGGCAATTTGGGAGCGCCCCCTGAGTTCGGGCGATGTTATTTTTATTTAGAAGGCAAATCGATATATATTTTTTTTAAGATTTGGGACTTAAAACCCCGCTTCTAGTGAGACCGAGACCTCGACCAGCCATCATCTCTCATAAAACTTAGCCCGCCGGTTGTCAAAGGGGGACTTTCTGAAAGGGATCAAACTAATTGGATGCACCTGCTGATTAGAGAAGACCCAATGTCCCAGCAGGACTCGGCACTCGTGCGTGTGTGTGTGCTGGCACTAAATCGAGAAGTAGGTTAATGTGCCTGTGACTTTCAACTATTTGGCGACTATATTCAATATTAAGCTTTACTAAAATTGCAAACGCAGAGTAACACAAATTGATCGACATCCGATAGGCGCGCAGTGACGATCGTTCCGTCACGACACGCGCACCGAAATCGTTCCGTATAAGGATTGACTGTTTATGATTTACGATTAATGAATATGCCTACTGTCACATTTAGACCAGTGGAAAGGGGAAAACGACTATACAAACGAGACGGGGGGAGGGGGGGATAAACTGCATCCGAAATGGTTTAAATGTTACAAAACTTATTTTAGATTCACGAATGAAATTCGCGTTGAATCGTTAACTCGCCTCACGTAGAATACATGGTAGCAACTTACAGAGGTGGGAACCACAACCTTTATACCCCTACAAGTCCAGTCCTGCCCCCCCACCTCCTCCTGTTACAACTGTTCTCACCAAATGTACATGATGTGCCCACTGGTTGCCATGCCCGAGTGGGTCGTGTCATTTACGTGAACCCAGTAAAATGTTTTCCGTCAATAGAGGAAGTGGCATCACCTCGCTAATCTAAGCCTATACCGTGCCTGTACGCATGCGAACATACTTTCGCATCGACGTAACCCTTAACAAGGACTCGTCCCGTCCGTTGAATTAGTCTCGTTCAGCAACATTTGGCCGATCGAGTCACGCAGAAGCCTCGCCATTGGTGCGGAGTCGGCAGGCCCCCTTTTCCGACGAGGAACCCAAATTCTGAAGGACGTTGGTCTTTGATCCCCGGGTGCCCTCCACGCGTTCTCCTGTCCCACCAAACCGTGCCCACTCCGCGCGTGGTTTAGACGCCCGCCACGCGCGTCATTGCTGCGGTGCGCAAGGACGAACCGCATGTACCCCGTGCCGGCTCGCCAATTCAGGGACAGGGGGTTGGCCCGTGCTCTCACGGATGGTGGCGTTGAAGAGACAACACGGATATGCACTCAAACCTTTGGCAACCCTCTATCGGAATATATCTGTCGCAAACTCTGTGCCACGAAATTTGAATGTTATGGCCAGGTCACTCCTGCAAGTGAGACTATCCTTGTCGCTGTAGTTGTCACCCGGTGAAATAATATACACATTAAACGCATTTAAGCTGCGACTGTGGTCACCCAGAACAGACCACGGGACGTAGAACGACTCAGTGCCCGAGATTCACAAACACGAAGGAGGAGGCGCCATCAACAGCGATGATTCAACCACCCCGCCACTCCTGACGCAATTATTTGGCTGAACCACCTCAAGCGCAAGATTACAGCTGTCTCCCTACGTGAATATCAGCCACGGGAAGATGATTACACTCCTGAACTCTCGTCACCTCTGGAATTATGAACCGAAAATTTCCGCAACGCTTGCGCTGCTGTGACACGCGCGCATTTTGCCGGGGGGGGGGGGGGTTATCTGGGAGGACACATACCGTTGGAAGACACAAGTCTTGACTAATCTCTCCAGCCAATTTGGTAACACTGTGCGCTTTGTCTGGGTCTCTACGAGTCCTCAGCTCGCGGGTGGTGGGACGGGACACGGCGCTGGACAGATTTCTCTCCTGTCCACCTTGGCAACGGTAAACATTCCAAACATGCCTAGCTTGCAAACATACGACGTGTGTGTGCGCGTGTGTTTGTGTGCGCGTACGTCCAAATGCAATCGTTGAACCCGAGCTGGGGTAGACTTTTTAATTCAACCCTCAAGTGTTGCTGCTGCACCTTGAGGGATGCAAGCGAGTTGCTTGGCAACACGGTATGCTGAGTGTGCATGACGTTTTTACTGGATGAGATCAATCGAGTGTTCACCAACTATCTGGTGCGTGCGGTGTGCACTGATTTATTTTCGATCGGGTTAGGTTGGTAATCACGAGCAGGGATGTGTCGTGGGAACTGGAGTTGAGGAACGCCGCCGGGGGTGGAGAATTGGACAGCAGTGAAACCACGTGGTTTGTGAAGTTGAGCCCCATGTCTCGTGGCGTTGGTGAATATTTAACATATTCGCGTCCGATTTTGAGCGAAATCATGGAAATCGCCAACATTGTTGACGCGGTGTATTAAGGCAGTCTCGTCGGGATTTGAATCTAACCAAGCAATCGTCACACTATCGCGATATTTTGGCCGCCGTCGTTATTTCCAGCTCAAATTGAGGCATTGGTACTCATCCCATGTTCACAGCCCTGAGCCAGCGGTGGAAATTCCACATTGCTATGGTGGGAGCGAATCTATGCACAGGACAACCATCGTTGACTTCCATGCAAAGTGGTGCTCATTTTTTTTATCCACCTCAAAATGATGGCCTGAGTCAATCCCTCAACCAGGATGTGAACCTCAACTTGCTCTGCCGTCGAGTGATCACATTTGTGCCACGTTTCTCATCCGACTGCACGCAGTCTTTGTTTGTGGCGGCTCTGCTTCAACGGCCTTTCGTTATTCTGTCACGTCAGCTCACTCCTGCCATTCTTATGTAACACTGCGTCTCAAACAGCTCTATACATATGCGGTACAGCTGACCACAGTAAATATATGAGATGGCTTTTGTATATTACTACTGCGTGATAAGACTAAGATCCCCCGTATATTCTAGATTTAAAGCTTTCGTGACTGCTAGGATCCATACTCTTTGGTTCTATTGGGTAAAGTCACGTAGGTGAACCTATATAGCCTTAACATACTTTTGGGGCAAGTTCTGTTAACGATCACCTTTGAAAGCCGGCACGGCACACGAGGAGTGGCTAGCCAGCACCACGCCCGACCGCCTTTGCCTCCCAGTGGCGATGTTTACACACCGCACCAGGTACTCCTTTGATGCCGAGTCGACCTAGGGGAGGCTTAGGACCAGTTGCGTGCCAAAACCCACACACATTACCGTCGGGACGGAGCGATCTGGACTGAGCTACAATCCTGGTCAATGGTTGCTCTAAAATAGGCAAGTAAGGCCAATTATTGCCCACGATGTTACACGGCTGTAACGAGTGTCCAGTGTCACATGAGGGCAGTGTCGACGAGGTGGTTCGCGGTCAATCGGGAGGGCAACTCGGCACGCGGTCCCCCCTACTCCTCCTATTCGTCACCCGCGTGCCCTCTGCTGCGTTCAGCGTGACCAAGTCTCGGTCGGACGAGGCTACATCATCATTATTGTTATTATTATTAAAATTTCGGTCAATCGGCGTCAAACAGATAGGCAATGGCTGGAACCCCAGGGAGAGGATCGTGCGCGCTCCGCCATCCGCGTTCGAAGCTACACGCCTCGGGGAGGGGGTCGGGAGTGGGGGGGGGGGCTGCGCTTTGCTGACGCCTCACTCCCCATCTTGTCCCCGAACTCCATAGGGTTAAAGTACCCCCACCCCCTCCCCATCACACGGGGTGCTAAGCCCAAACACGCCGTCAAACACGCTTGTCACTATAGCCGCATTCTGCTGACCTCGGTGGGATTGGCGTGGGTTCCTGTTGCAAATAATTTAATGGGGGGGGGGGGGGGGTGGTGCACGCGTCAAGTTGTGTTTTTTTTTAGATTCCATCATTTACAAGTCATGCCAATTGTATTCCAAGCGCTACAAAATGAAACAACAAATGATAAATGATAGAGGCGAGACAAAAAAAGACACAATCGCCCATTCTTGAGCCGTAACAATTGCGTCAAATCGCTGGCAGCGTGGGGGTGGCGAATGGTCACTTCACCCGAAGCGGCGCGGGCCAGGAATTTCTGGGAAACGCCGTCGACCTTCCAGTCCATCAACTACATTGACGCAAGTCGGCGTTTGTTTTTTGGTAACAATGTTGCGTCGGACCAAAAATTGGGTTTCGATGCGGGTCTCGCGCATCCACCGTCCGCATCCATCGCGGCCGCGTCTCCCTCGTGTGCGTGCGTGTCTGTGCACAGAGAAAGATCGCGTCCGAGGCTTCACCGCCATGAGCTACGACTTTTCGGGACTTCCCACGCTGACCAAGCTCAACCAAATGCAGGTGAAGTGGCCGCCCGCACGGCCCGCGCCTGGTTCACTGGTGAATCTGGACGCCGCGGAGGGAAGGGACAGGAGGAGGAGGAGAGAGCTGAAAATAAATTATAGCGCGAGAATGCACGGGTACCGGAATGCTTTTAAATAAATACAACCGCGATTGTCAGCAGTGAACAAAGTAACAATGTGACGCAGCGCGAGACGTTCGCAATAACAGGGGAATCCCGCTGTTGCTGCCCGCCCCCCCCCCCATCTCGGCAACGCATTTCGTTAATAACGACATTTTTTCTCACAGCAGTTTTCCTTCTCGAATGTTTTATTGCTTGGAGAGACTTGCACCGGTGCGGTACGATGCACGTCCCTGCAGTGGTGACATTGAAGGCCCCCCCCCCTTCCCCCGCCCTCCTTCACCTCCGCAATATTTCAAACCAGGGCCACCACATCTCCCCCCCCCCCACGACCTGTTAAAAAGCTCCCAGACAATTCGCCTTCCGGTCACCCAGTACAAAAGTCTGCATCAATCAGTAAATGGCTGCACTCAACGCAACTTCTGTATTTACTCCGTTCGGCAGCCAGACTGTTTGTTGGCTGCAGTGACATGATTCGCAGGTCAAAACCACTCGCAACCCCCCTTTCTGATCTCACGCCGGCACGAGGCAATCTCAAGTGGCACTCATGGCTACACTCGCCTCCTTCTCTTATATCGCTCCTTCCACCGCAGGCAACCTCCGTGCATCGCGATGGGTGACATGGAGCAATGGGGAACCCCAGGCCGTGATCACAGCAGTGGCCTTGGAACGTGGTCAGCATGGGCCCTCGTACATAGAATGGTGGGGGGGGGGGACCTTCGATCCAATTGCCCCCCCTACACTCTCAGCCCGGTGCAGTTGCACCGCCTGCGCTCTCCGAGAGCCACGCCGCCGGGGTGCTGCCACCTCGGGCCGGTGCAGTTCCCCCCTTAAATTTCGATTTAAAGCTTTCGTGACTGCAAGGACTCATCTTCTTTGGTTCTTTCGGTAAAGTCACGTACCGAAAGAACCAAAGAAGATGAGTTCCCCCCTTGTCATGCGCGCGGCAAACGGCGCGGAGAGGACGCCGCCGACAACCCTTCGCCGCCACAGAGTGCCCACACTCTTCTTGGGATTGTATTATGGGGTTGGTATTGTGGTCGGGATTGACATTGTAAGGAAGAATTGATATTGAGATATGGGTTGATATTTTCAAATGGGTCTAGACAGCCAAGAGGATTGTCTAAATCAGTGGTTGCTCAACCTAGTTTGGCTACTGTACCCCCTTGTTGAATGTTGTTCCAACCGAGTGTCCCCTCTTGCCTGACCCAACATGGTTCTGAAAAAAAAAATCAATATATGAGTGATGAACATCAGTGTGTTAATCAATTGTCCGTTTTGTGAGGTATCCTAACTAGCGAGCAACTGCAAGCAAATAGAAAAAAAAATGCAACGGGCCCTCTGCGTGCGTGAGGCGAATTGTTCGCGATCGATGGTTGCTCTTGGAAACCAACATTGTTTACAATCAATGAGTTTAGAAAGGTCTTTGATGTCCGTTTAACACGTAGGCTTTCGCGACCAATATCATCGATAAAAGTTGTTTTGGGTTAGATTGCGAAAATGTATAAATGTGTCGTTAAACCCGCCACTACCCGACACAGCCAAATGTTGTGGCTGGGCTCTCCAACACACCGGCGTGCTGTACTAGTGACGAATTGTCACGTTCTGTTAACGTGACAACCCTTACTAGTTGGCTGTGTCGGGTGGTGGCGGGTTTCACGACGCATTTATATATTTACACGATCTAACCCAAAACCCCTCAACTATGGTCTTTTAAATCGTTCTAGATGACCATAGTGAATTACATTTTATCGTAATTATTTTATATTTGCAGATTCATACGTGATTATTCACCAATGACTCATGAATGATGTAACGTCACACATTTATAAATCACCTCACGTACCCACTGGGACATTGCCACGTAGCCCCCAAGGGTCCACGTACCCCCGGTTGAGAACCACTGCTCTAAACTACACAGTAATTGTCTTCATATATATGGAGGTATAGAATGGAGTTCCTGCTGTTATTTTGAAACATGAAGCTGAATTTGGGTAGCGGGTTGTCATGGCGGGCTAGCTGCTGCAAATGCCTCAATCTGTGCCCTAGCCTCTTCATCAGCAGCAGCCATGCCATGGTCAATCCACTGTTGGACGAAGCCCTCCCACAAGATGTCACCATCAGCCTCAGCGACGTAATAATACTATGTAAAACAATTTTTGTTCCTGGGCAGTAAGTGTTATTTCGTAATTGCTTATGCCTAAAAAGTATATTAGATGGCTATTATTCCTCACACAAGACAGTAATATTTGAAATTTACCTATTTCCAATAAGAAAACGGGCGAATTTGTGTCTTTTCGTTCACATAGAGTCAGAAAAAACAACATGAATCAAAATTTACATGTATTTATACTAAAGTAATACAAAAATTACTACAAAAGATTTAGAAGCGAGTCATTTTTCGAGATTGTTCCTCCCCACTGAGGACTCGGTCCGCTGTGGCCAGTCCCGCCTGTGCTAGTGCATCGTGGTGTCTATTTTGTAGTAAATTTTGTATTACTTTAGTATAAATACATGTTAATTTTGATTCATGTTGTTTTTTCTGACTTTATGTGAACGAAAAGACACAAATTCGCCCGTTTTTTCATTGAAAATAGGTACATTTCAAAATATTCTGGTCACAAAAGCATAGTTTGTGGGGAATAATAGCCATGTTCTGTACTTTTGAGGCATAAGCAAGGCAAGAGTCAAGTCGGATTCTTGGCCTCGTGTAAAAAATGTAAATGAAATAAAGTTCAGCCGCAGTTAATGTTTACATTCGGTGTTTGGCTTTGATGTCGGCACACAATATCGTACCCTCGCATGCGACCTCACAGGGTCTTTAACATCCAGTTGGACAGCAGACGGGCGCGCTTTGGTAAAATCCACACAAGAAAACTGCCAGGCTGCGGTAGTGAGGCCAAAACCGTAAAGTGGTGCTCTGCACGAACCCAGCCTGGTGACCCGAACTCTCTGTCCACCAGTGGCGACCGCTGATGAAACACACGCAAGGAAATGTCAAAAAGGGGCTTCAAAGGCCCAGCTAAGGCACCCTTTATATTTATACAGCAACAAAGCAGCAATGGCAAGAAAACAACAAAACAATACACGCTGAGTGTGCCTAGGAACACAGTCAATACGTCTACCCTTAGTTATATTTTATATATGTACAGGATATATGAATTATTATTTTTTGGAGGACATATCTGTGCCTGTTAACGTAGGAAATTAAGCTTCCAGATTCTTAAATCGGAGGCCACGGTTGGTGAAGCTCCCTCGGCCGCTCCACGGCCACAGATCTCACGACCGCCTGCGGGACCTCGCACAGAGTTCGCGAGTGACGCGGCCCCGGAGACATCAATCACAGTGTCCACGACGGTGAAAGGATAAAAGTGCTGAACAAGATTTTCCGAGGACATGGAGATGTTTACGTTGGCACCTTGCGCAGTGCCTACCACGTGTTTCGTTCCGATGAGACGAGGGCGGGTGGGGGGTGGTTAGAAAACTTGTGACCATGCATCTCACATTCTGGCCCACACGTGTTCCAAGCGTAAACTTCCGCTGAGTGAAACATCCATCCACATGCGCATCCACAGAGTCACACACACAAAACCCACTTACTCCGTTGTGTCCGTTCGCTCAACCGCCCAACAAGTCGCTCACCCAACCCAGACAAACTGCTCATTCACTCATGCGCACACACACACGCACTGTTATAATAATGCTAATACAGTAACAATAACCAGGTCAAGTACTCGAGGTCAAACATTCTTACATCCCTCTCCACCTCCTCCTGTTATGTTTCACGAGGCCACAACCAGAGCTCGTGTCGCCATGAGGCTTCCTGTTCTTAATTATATTACCGCCACCGTCACCACCTCCATCACCTCCATCGTTATCATCACCACCACCACGGCCATCCTTATTCACGGTTTCCACCCTTTACAAGTTGGTCGGCTGGACCACGGCAGCCGGGTCTCCCTGCACCATGTCGACGGCCTTGCCCTCGCCCGCCCGCATGTAGCTCAGGAAGAGAGTCACGGTGGCGAAGGTGGCGGCGTTGACGGGAAAGGCCCGCAGCAGCGTGGACACGAGCCCGCGAGTGAACATGCGCCACCCCTCCTGGCGGTAGCTCTGCCGGAAGCAGTCCGTGATGCCGGCGTAGCGGCTCTCCCCGCCCACGCCGTCCGCCTGCAGCCGCGACTTCACCACGTCGAACGGGTACGTGGAGAGCCAGGACGCGATGCCCGACATGCCGCCCGCGAACAGCAGCTTGGGGATGAGGCTGGGGTCGTCGGGCTCGCAGCCCAGGTGCCGCGTGAGCACGTCGTACGTGAGGAAGTAGAAGCCGAAGGCGGGTGTCTCGCGCAGCAGCGTGCACACCATGCCGCGGTTGATGCCGCGCACGCCCTCGCGCTGGTAGATCTTGCGCAGGCAGTCGAGCGTGCTCTTGTAGAGGCGCGAGCTCTTCTTGGTGCCCTTCTCGCCCGTGCCCTGCAGCTGCATGCGCGTCTTGGCGAGCTCCATGGGGCACGCGATCACGCACTGGATCACGCCCGCCGCCGAGCCCGCCAGGAACTGGTTGCGCGGGGAGTCCTGGCCCAGGCGGCGCATGGCGTTGCCCTGGACTCCGAACACGATGGCGTTGATGAAGGTGAGGCCCATCATGGGCGAGCCGATGCCCTTGTACAGACCCATGGCCTTTGGGGGTGGGGTTGGGGGGGGGGGGAAGGTGTGCGGTAGAAGAACGAGTCGGGGTGGTATTAGCGGAAGGGAGTCTCGGTATTTTTGTTATTTCTTCCACGCAATTAGGTTCCAATTGAGCAATCAAGCATCTTCCGCGTAACATTTCTATTCATAACGCGGAGAGAGCAGTTTAAGATCACCAGGTGTCAGATGACAGATTCTAAAAGAGGACATCATGTAACTACTTCTGAAGTCTCTCCCCCCATGCCTAGACACAGAGAGGTGTTTGTCTCATGGCAGTCCAGAAGGGCCCCTAGTAGAGGGACCTCTGGAGAGGCCCTCTAGAAAGGTATTTGACCTACTTTTCGACACTGGCCAGCCATCTCGGAAGAGGTGAGAGTACCCACAGATTATGCCACCACACATGACCTGCCAATCAGCTGTGGTGGGGGTCTATTTGTAGGACTGCGTGGATAGAGGAAGGAGTATTGAAGAAACTTTGCCCATTGCGTCGAATGCCGTGCCGAGAGATGGAATTGAACCGGTAACCTCTGAATTGCAGGTCTATTTTGTTAACCACTAAACGCTCTTCACTACGATATTAGCAAGCCACTGGAGCTATGCTTTTTAAAATCTAGCTTGAAAACTAATTTCTTTAGAACTGCTGTTTGCGCTTAGTTTGTTGTCCTTTCCCTGCACCTCCAATTAGCGCAAATGGCTACGTACGGTACGAAATAAATTTAACATACATACGTACTTATACACCACGGCAACATCCAGATACCAGGAATTTACCGAATAAAATAGCATGTCTCCCTGGTAACGGAGCGGAGCTCATCGACGCAATTCGCTTCGCAACGCGGTTCGATCACGGGCGGCCGGATCCACCCGCCCATTATCTCAGCGGTGCTGGCTCAGTGCCCCGGTGCCGTGTCAGCCCCCCAGGCCACACCTGCAACGTCTTGAACTCTGATCCCAAAGTCCACAAGAAGATGTAGCAAGGTCTATCATTACCCACAATCCACCACGACACTTTGTACAATGTTGTTGGAACAGCCCTAAATGGGGTGTTCTTGGAGGTCTCTTACCTACAGCACCAGAAAACCCAGCAGCATTTTTTTTAAACAGACCCCACACTGCTGGTGATATTCGGAGAAGTCAAAACCGGTCTAGAGTTTTGCCTGCAAACGTCGGTACAGAAGGCCGAGAGGTTAATGGAGCTGGTAGTGGACACAGACCCTTGTCACTTTTAATTAGTATTATTTTTGTTTAGCTTTTGGTCCAGTGGCATAGTCACGTTGTTGGCATGGGCCCTGGTGCAAGGAATGAAATGAGGCCTCCGGTCCAATTTCCTCCACGTGAGTAGCCCGGCGACTAGGCTCCTCTGGCCCGTGGGCAACCTGGGCAGTTGTACCGCCTGTGCCCTCTGTTAGCTACTCCACCACATTTAGTCTCGTCGAAGGAGTGTACAAGTTGGAAAGCAGGTATTGAACCCAGGCTGGTGGGTGCGTGCCTCACCGACTCCTGCTTGACAATGGATGAGAAGCAGTGATATGTTCCGCGGTACCGAGGCTTCTCCACGGACTGCACCTGCAGCCTCACCTGCACTCACACAAACACACAGAGTTCCCGTATAGTCTTAACAGACTGTTGGGGCAAGTGCTGTTAGCGAGCACCTATGATGGCTGGCACGGCACACGTGGGGGTGGTAGCCAGTACCACACTCGGCCACCTTTGTCTCCCAAGTGGCGACGTTTACACACCGCACCAGGTACTCGTTTAGGCTGAGTCTACCTAGGAGAGGCCCAGGATTAGTTCAGATAATCGACATTGGCGTTGGCCATGATTGGGGAATCAAACTCGGGTTGCTGGGTTTGTAGGGTAGCGTGCTAACCACTGCGCCACCACTCCCCACGATAATTTAAAAAGAACAGTTTTAAGTCACGGTCAGCTTCTTGGTAAGCGCGTGTGAGCGGTCACTGCATATCGCCAAATCACCCTGAACGCGCCCCACCTCGTTATGTCTCAGAGGCTAAGCAGGGTTAGCACTTGGACAGGAGACATCAAAGCACTAACCACTTACAACTTTCTGCACATAATCTATCTGTGTGAAGCTGTACGTGTATCCCCTCACATGAGGGGCAAGTTTTCTACCGGTGCTCTCCAGTTTCCTCGCAATCGCTGGATTCAGCCAAACATGCCACACAGTGTGTCGAAAGGACCCTCCTGAAAAGAAGGATCCTGAGAATGAGTGAGGATATCCCGGGTAAATTCGTCTCGACGGACATGTGACATGCCGAATCACTGGTTAGTTCAGTTCGTGTTTACAGGAAATATGTACTGACAATCGACACGCCGTGCTTTTGCATTTGCTGCCTGTGGTGGTGGTGGTGGTAAGTCGAGCAATGCCAGGCGTTGAGGCATTCTGTGACCAAGGTGGAAAGAGCACCAAACCCTGAACACGCACATTGCGCCTGCTGGTGACCCACTCTCTACATCAATTGATGGAAATATTAATTTAAGCTTCACACAGGGCGTTCATTACTCTAATGTAATAATTAAGTCGAGCATCCCATATAACCTGACAGTCACACCTAGCCTACACAGGCTGTACTGGAAAGTGCTGTTTGCGTGTACCAATGAAGGCTGGAACAGCACATCTGTGGGTAATGTGGCCAGCACCACACCTTTGTCTTCCTGGCAAATGATGTTCATATGCCATGCACTCATTTATGGCTGAGTCAACCAAGGGAAGAGCTAGGACTGGCTCAGATAATCACCACTGATGTTGGTCGTGGCCAAGAATCGAACTTGGGCCGCTAGGTTCATAGGGTAGTGCACTTATCACTGCGCCACCGCTCCCCACGTGAACACACGCACCTTGTTGTGAAGGGTTCCTGTTTAGAACACATGCTTAACTTCTTGTATGTGTGCACGTCGTGTGTCCGTGTGTGTACCAGCGTTTGCCCCAAGAGTCTGTTAACAATGTATAGGGAATCTTTGTCTTTTTGTATGTGTAGGTGTATAGGTGTGTATGTGTGTATGTGTGTGAGTGTGGCCACTGGGGGGTCAAAGGCGGTCGGGCGTGGTGCTGGCCACCCACCACCCTCGTGTACCATGCTGACCTTCATAGCTGCTTGCTAACAACACAAAAAGTTTGCTTAGGCTATACAGGGGATCTATCTTTGTAGGTGTGTATGTATGTATCAATGCCGAGCAACTCAAGCGTCTGAATAGTTACATAACATTTACATTATGTAGTTTCCCTTAGTCATCGCCCAAATGCCAATGTTCACACTGAGTCAGAGCAACTCTGCTCACCGTTCACAGCCAAGGCGCTGACCAAACACTGTGCTCTGCCAGTGGTGGTGGTGTTTAATTCGTCTGGAATTAGCATCCGATTACTCATCATGTTTTGCGAATGGAATCCACTCTTGTCATCGGGTATACATGGTAGACACTGTACGAGTGTGCATGGAGTGTATATGTGCAAGTGAGTGTGCCGCTCGTCTGAACCGACCCTGAGCCTCTCCTAGGTCAACTGAGCCTTAAACGCGTACCTGGTTGAGCGACATTATTTTAATCAGCTGCGTAACACTGTGTGGAAGCTTGAAGCTCTGGGTCTTCTCGGCCACAGTAATGCCCTCCCTTCTATATGCTTGCAAAACATGGACCAATTTTCACAGTTTTTAAACAATCAGGGTGGCTTGCCTACATTCCACCCCGAGTTAAACCCGACTGGATTTTGTGAGGAGCTCAAAGATCCTTGAGAGATCCGGACACAGTCCCATCAGTGAGCTCCTCCAGCAGGCAAGGCTGATTCATGTAGCTCATGTGCCCAGCCACCGCAGGACCAAGCAGCTTCTGTTTGGCGGGGGGGGGTTAAACGGGCATGGCATTGGTAAGAAAAGTGATGATGTACTGATGCGGTACAGAAGGATGTGCAGCTGTATGGACTTGCCAACGACTGGTACCAGCGGTGTCGAGATCGGCCTCTGTAGAAGAGGCTCGTGAAGGTGTGCCTAGCCTGGTATAAGCCCTGTGGTGATGTCACCTCTACTTAGTGGTGAACGGTGGTTGTTGTTGTAAGTATGCATATGTAGTGTCTTTGGTATGTTCATATTGCATAGTGTGTATGCATTGGTATGCAGTTTGGTGTATGTTGCAGGCTGTGTGTATGTATCTGTATGCTGTTTATGGTATAACACGGCATCGGGAGGGGTTGGAGGGTGTACGCCCGTGTTGTGGCGGCTCCCCACGCGGTCTCCACCTTCTCTCGGCCCTCACCTTCACCGTGTCGAAGGGGTGCCCCACGACCACTCCGGCGGCACCTGCCAGGGAGAGCCACACGCGTCCGGGTCAGGTGTGAGAGGACCAGGGGGGCATCGCGTGCCCTCCATCTCCTCTCCCCCCACTCTCAACCTCACTCTACCCAAGCACCAATAACTCCTGCCCCCTCCCTCCCCTTGTCTCTCAAATCGTCTCCGCTCTCCACCCTCAAATCAGTCCGTAAGGCTGCTCACACCCCAGATTTCTCCCACGTGAAGCCAAACACTCGCCTATGAAATGTGCCAATCGTCCCAAAGCAGGACCCTCCTGAGTAATGTAAAGAGAATTGCTATTCTAGTCTTGCTCATGATGGCAACAGCAATATGTTCAGGAGCTCAAGTCCAGTGGTTTACTCTATGCACCATAGTTTAGGCTGCATGGCCACAATCACACATCTGTGGCACGTGCCTCTTATTTTCGATTCATGAAGGAGGTGTGTGCATTGGCCTGTTAATGTTCTGATGCGACTGATAGTTAAAACTGTGTCTCTGAGCAATGTCAAAGCCAGGAGGCGAGATAATGTTTGAGTCTCGAATGAGGTGTTTATTCTGGACGTTCACGTTGTTGCATTGTTGTTCAAATGGCCCTTGCAAGAGCAGAGGAAAGTTCATAACCAGTGGCACTTCGTGCTGTCGGTGAAAGAAACGGGCATCATGTACGCATTTGTATCGAGCGAATGTTCGTCACGAGAACACCGCACACGCGGTGATGACGCCAGCCTCGCGGAGTTGACGGCGAGTCACTGATTTAGTCAACAACAGTGGCGCGCGTGCCTTTTCTGGGAACAGTACGTGACGAGGTGTGGGTGGAGGTATGCGAATGAGTGGGAAAGGTGGTGCAGAGGTTAGCGCGTCACGCTATGAACCTGCAGACTAGGGGGTGGTTGGGAGGGCACTGACCCCTGCCATCTACTGACCGCCCCTCAGCCCACACCTAAAACACGTGGTATTTACAACGAGATCCAACACGATCAGGGGAACTTAAAATAATGTTTTCTGTCCACAGTTTATAAGAGTGCCTGCAAGTTAAGGGAACTGTGGTGCGGTTATGTTAGCGCACTGCGCTATCGTCCTAGAAACCTAGGTTTGTGGGAAAGTGTAGCAACATCAAGCGTATATAAGAGGTCACTTGAAGGGCTCTCAGAAGTAGTGATGTAACATCTGCTTCTAAAGGCCGTTTTCTGACATGGGGTGACGAAGCACCGCTCTGCGAGAATCCTGGACGTAATTGTCTTGTACCCTCGTGAGAAGATGAGGCCGATATCACAAGTGGAATATAATCTCAATGTTTGGACTTGTGGTCAGTGGGCAGAGCGTACGCGCCCATGCACCGCGTGCCAGGCACATGGCCTTGTCAATTAAATGTATGCCGAGCGCCTCGAGCATGTGGGGGGCCATGTGGGAGGAGGCAGGGCGGGGACTGGGGGTGGAGGTCGGGACGGTGCAAATATGAAGCGTAAACCGTGGCAGAAAACCCGTTCTCTCCCTCCCCTGCATCCCCTAAGAGGAATGTTTGTGACAGGTTTAGTCATGCCAAGGATGCCACTACACCTCGCTCTTGCCTCATTCGTTCTGCTTGGTCCCGTCGCTGGTAAAGCAGACAAACGTATTTTAAGGACAGCTTCTCTTACTTTAATTACACACTATGTAACACGACTTTTGTCCCTGGGTAGTAAGTGTTATTTTCTAATTGCTTATGCCTCAAAAGTATAGAAAATGGCTATTATTCCCCACAAACTTTGCTTTTGTGACCAGGACTTTACGTGAAAGAATGACACAAATGCACACGTTATAGGTAAATTTCCAAATATCACTGTCCTGGTCACAAAAGAAAAGTTTGTGGGGAATAATAGCCATTTTCTGCACTTTTGAGGCATAAGCAATTAGGAAATAACAGTTACTACCCAGGAACAAAAATTGTTTTTGTTACACAGTGGATCATTATCACTTCCCCTTAGTCACCGGCCTTCTGTATGCCATTCCAATGCCCGTGTCAGTCATCGGCCCTGCTACACCCTGCACACGCAGCCCACCCACCGTCACATCCACAATGATTTTTTTTTGCTACATTACATTCAACACCTCCAAGTCACTTACCCGATGCGTTTCCATTCTGCATATCTCACCCATTCCAACCTCCTCTCCCCGATTGCGTTAATAACCCTTCATTTCCACGTTCCATTCCATGAACTTCAAAATTGCTTACCCTATCATTACCATGACATTGCTAGCATTCTGTGCATGCGTGCATGCACCTGCGTTCAAAAACCAATTTCTGAAAAAAGCTGAACCTCAAAATTTCTCCCCGGGCTCATTCATGGAACAAACTCTTCCTGGTACCTGAAATAAATGAAACATCCAGGCAAGGAATGTTCTGCAGAGCAGAGACGGAGAAAAATGAGAGAGGCAGGTGGCTGCCTGCCAAGACCCATTTCTCAGGGGCTCCGCATTGAGCATCAGGTTAAAAGGGCAGGTTGGTTCCTTCCATTGCACCCCCCCACTCCCACCCCTGCCGTGGAGAGGTTAGTGCTGGGAAGTCGGGTAAGGGGGGGGAGCCTGGTGGACTGGGGACTGGGGGAAGCGGGAGAGACGGGGAGGTCACGGCACGCACGCACGAGATGAAAGGACTTTGCCATCCTTCCTGGCAGCGCGACCCTCGCAAATCTTTGCTTTGTGGAAAAAAAACCTAAAAAACCTTTCAATCAATAAACTCGGCAGATAGAAGTTTTGGGCGGTCGGCAAAAAACCACGACTGCCCCTGCAATGCACGGACTCGATGCATCCATATAATAACACGGCGCTTTTGTGCATTCTGTTCAATTAAATAAATGCATTTGTATTGGCAAAATCGTTAATGCCATTTGTTGCTGGCCGCTTTGTGTTATGGGCGTTAGGACCCGTGATCAGCAAGTGTAATTTCAAAAGATGGCTAAAAACTGGGCATGAGATGGCAATACGGTGATCGCTTCCAAACAGATGGATTCTTGAATCCATCTGTTTGGAACTTTGAGTGTGTCACCTCCTCGTATGCACTGTGGGTATTGTAGTTTTTTTTTCCCCCACACAAAGCCAAACACTCACACAAAAAACTGGCCAAACATTCCAATGTAGCCGGACCCTAGTGAACAAAGAGTCTCGAGACTCAGTGAGGCTTTGCTGGACGGTTGGGATGATTATCACGGTTGTCATATTGTGTATGAGCTACATGTGGACTTTACCAGGAGTGAGCGCAGATTGAAAGTTATTGCTCACATGGGAACAGCTGAGGGGCACTTGTATTTTCTCAATGAGCCACAATGAGGCACAAAGCCACGGGGTCAGCGACTCAAAAATGCCACGTGGTTATGCAGATCATCTTACCGCCTTCAGCTTCGATTAAGTAGTGGAAATTTCACATACCTATGGCAGGCACAAATCGTACCAATCCATAGAACTGCTCCGTGTGTATGCAGAACTTTGTTTTTACACCGTACGTCGCCAACTGTGCTAATCGGAGGGGCGGCGAAACTGGAGATGCTCCGTGCAGGTTGTGGAGGTTATTTGACCGCACTTTACCATGCTGGTCAGTGCGGGTTGGTGAAGGCAGGACACAGACGTTTGGAGCACAGTACAATCAGTGGATTTTGCTGCACAGCCCTCTGTTAATAACGTGGCCCCCACATCCGCCCACAGCACTTGCTTTACGCACCATGGTCTCCCCCATCCAATCACTACCCAGGCTGAGCCCTGCTTAGTTTCCAAAATCTGCCGAGATCATGCTCATTCCGGGCAGTGTGGTCATAAGTGCAAGTTAAGGTTAACGTGAGAATGTAACACTTTTCAGAATGGGGTGTATACCTCATACGTATCAATCAGTTCTGAATCTTTGCTGTGCACCTGAACTATTTATTGAGGGGTAGAATGATGCAATGTATCGATTCATTTATGTTTTGAAACTAACGATTCACGCATTGCTGTGTATGCAGGAATCAATGGGGTTTTATTATTCATTAGTCACTGGTTTGTATCACCATAAAAATTCACCGTTGTATTGTACTATGCTCCAACATCTATGCGCCCAACATTCACCAAGCCACTCTGACCAGCGTGATGAAGCATGGTCAATTCACCCTCCACGACCCAAATGGAGTGGCTAACCTATAGATTGGTACGATTTGTACCTGCCATATGAATGTGGAATTTCCACCACTGACTCAAGGCTGTAGGCACAGTAGGATGATCTGGAAACCACTATGTGTTGAGTTGCTGACTTATGGAACCGTGCCTCATTGTGGTTTAATTAAGAGTCACTTTAAATCTGCGCTCACTCTGCCATTTATCTGCCCAGCAAAGTATAACTGAATATAGAGACTGTTTTTCGGAAGAGTTCCAAATTGGGATGTTTTGCCAATTACATGAATGTTTGGTATCAAGTGGGCCGCAGAGTGGCTCACAGAAAGGAGGGCCTGGGTTCGATTCTCTACTTGGGCATCTTTCTGTGTGGCGTTTTGTACATGTGTGGGTTTACTCCGGGTTCTCTGATTTCCTTCCATAGCTACAAAAACACGTACAGTGTAACTGGTATTATGAACAATTATCTATAAATTACTCAATTGGGATTACACATGGCAGCAAAGTCGCTCCCTATTGTGACAACTTAACAGGACCCTCCTGGAAGAGTCTCGAGACGCATTGAGGCTTTCCTGGGTAAAACAAGCAGAGTAATTATACCAATACATGGGGGGGGGGGCCAGGAATACCAGGAGAAAACCCACCACGCATAGGGGGTGACACTCAAAATTCTGACCAGATTGATAAAGAATGCATTACTGTACTGCCATCTCCTGACCATCTCACAGCTGTATACCCAGGGCTGGAAATGGGAAGAAATCACTGCGGGAACTCATAAATCAGTCCCCCCACCCCCACTAAAATATGAGCAGGAGTTTCGCTCCATGTGTGGGTCTCTGAGCGTGTCTGTGGGTTTCTGTGCGTGTCTGTTACCCGAGGGGTCTGTCTGTGAGTCACATACAAATTAAATAAAAAAGATTAATTCTTGATTTCTACCGGAACACCATGGCGTTCCAGCCCATTTCCACCACTGCGCATACCTATGTAAATCATTGATGCTGATCACAGGCCCGAAGGCCTATTGCACAAGTGGCCACCGCCACATAGCACGAATGATAATGTAGCTGACAAAAGCACAGATATTTTGCTGTGCAATACCTACAAATTAGGGTAGAGGATTGGATACATCCCTAGATATTTTTTTCCAATATTGGGATCATACATTCTGTACCAATGTAAAATGTATTCGTGCTTTGTGGCATCACCAATGATTTGCACTCTTGGCAGGAAAAACATTGAAGTGATGTCACAATAGTGGCTAAATAAATGGACAATATGCCTCCTTCACATATGTCTCTCCAGGTAAATTATCTTTGCATGTTTTACACATCCCAGCAGCCACACGACCCTCCAGGAGCACTTCATTGCAGCAGCATTGGAAGCTCAAAGACATCGCGCCGAATGTTCAGGCAATGGGCTTGGGGCAGGGCATCGATAGAAGTGATGACGACCGATGGACTAGACTATTGATGGAATGGCAGCCAAAGGAGAGAATGCTCCCGAGACAGACAACAGGGAAGATGGAGCAATGTGATCAGCTCATGCGAAGGAGCAAGATGGCTTGTATCACCGTAGGCTTGCGAGAGGCGACAGCAGTGAGAGGGAGGGCCTTCATCCAGCAGTGGAGAAATCATGCCTGATAATGTTATGTACTTACACGTAAAAAAACATAACGCACCAATACAATCGTCGCCATCGTTATGCAACATGGAATGCAAGTTGTATATACAGTGCTGTAAGCGAAATCGCTAGGGAACTGGGCAAATACCCAAATGCAAGACGCCCCTTAAAGAGAAGTCTTCAAAACTCGCTGAGGCCGTCTGAGATAAGTGATTTAACGTGCCTCTTTGGCAATTCATACGATGCAGGTCACTCTACAACGGAAGCCTCCACCCTATTCACAAAGTGAACACGCACACCGCTCACAGCCGGCAAGGTAATAATGAAAGATAATCATGTACAGCCCTTCGTGAGTCCACCACTGGGACGAAGGCCCTCTCACTGCCGTGTCGGCAATTGGGGGTTGTTTGGTCATACTTCACCAGACTGTGTCAGTGAGACTTGGAGACGGTGTGCTCAGTTTAGCGTTCACATCGCGCCACTGATGGTGCTCGGTAACATTGGTAGTAGGCCGATGGACTAGAACTACACCGGTTGTGTACGTGGAGCCACAGAACGGGGTGCTGCTTACACAAATGTATACCCCTTGCTGGCAACGGCAGCCGGGAATCGAACTCAAGGCGGCCGGGTGAGCAGCGCAGTGCGCCAACCACTGCGCCACCGCTCCACCCCCAAATAAATGTCAAAATCGTAACAGTGGAGGGGGTGCGCGGAGGGGGCCCAAGGGGGAGAGGGTTTGGGGGGGGGGGCGAGGGTCGTGGGGGGAGCAGGAGGTGGAGAAGTTGAAGGAGAGGCGGGGTGGGGGGGGCGGGGTGGGGGCGTCATTCAACGCCGGGCAGGTACTTGCAACCGTGAACGATGATACGGGGACTCGGGATACGCGAGAGGCGAGGCATTTCGTGCGCTCCCGGTTTGGATTGTTCGAGAACGCGGAGCCGTGGGCTGCGGACGGTGGTGCCGGCTCAGCCGCTGCTGCTGCTCCGCGTTTGAACGGCGCACGTGCGGGGATTCCGCGTTTGCGTGCGCATTGAGCTCAAGAGCTCGGCACCCCCCTCTCCCCTCTCTCCACATCTCATCCCACTACGCAGTGCAGCATTCTCACCCCCCCTCCCACCGCGCCAGTAACATCATCGTCACAATCACCGCGACCGCGACCCTCGTGTGCGGATGAATGAATCGTGCGCCCCCGTGATGCAAACTCGCCGCGCTACTAGGAGATGGTGTTGGTGGTGGTGGTGATGCTGAGTTCACGCACCTCCCAAGCACCCAGCCGCGAAATCCAGAGCCATGTCCATCCTTCGCGCCGTAAACCCCTCCACGTGCTCCAAACTTCAGCCTTCACTCCTGTGCCCTGACGATGATGATGCAGCTTGCTCCTGGTGGTGGTGGTGTTGGTGGTGATGAAGATGATGATGTGAAATGAGAGGTCTCGCTCGCCGGATCTGTCCTTGCTGTTGAATGGGCCGAGCGGACGCGTGTGCGCACACGTGTGTGTGTGTGTGTGCGCCTCGCTATATCTCTCCGTGTCTCTCTTCTCTGCGTGTGGGCGCGTGGACGTGAATCGTTGAGCTGCGCTTCGCGGGCGGCACTGCAAGCGAGTGATAGGAGGAGCCACGCGTACAGCAGGAAAGTGGCTGATGGAGGTGGTGGGGGGTGGGTGATGGTGGCGAGTGGGATCACAGAGGTAGGGTGGTGGGTGTGGGGGGTGGCTGGGGGAGCGGTAATTCTATCTCAGATAGCCGGGGGGGGGGAGGTTAACACGGTGGTTAACGCGGTCGCTGGCGTGGATCGCCTTTTGCTGGGGGTGGCGGATGGCGCGCGCACACACACGGAGTGAGCGCCGGCGAGCAGGGAGGACGGTGGTGGGGGGGAGGTTCGTGGTCACAGATTCCGAGATCATCCCCTCTAAATAGAAGGCGTCTGAGCCCCCGACCAATGGTGCCCCGTGGGCGTGGGGCGGCGACCCAATGGGGTCCGCGGAGCTTGGAGACGCCTACCCCGAGACCCCCCCGGGGCACCGGCCAAAGGAAAATTCCGCTCGGGCGTCACTTCCCATAGGGGCGAGTCGAGAGGCGCGGTGCCGCGTTCCGTGCCCGCCACGCTCACAACAACGGCGCAGGGGCGCGGGGTGGATAAAACGCGGCGAGGCGGTGGGTGGGCCGAGACGATGACGATGTCGTCCTCGTTGTTGTCGTTGTTGTTGCGACCCGAGTTCCATTCGAGCCTCGCGGGACATACACTATCGCCGACGAGAGGCGCGGGGGTTACCTGCGGCCGTGCCTTCCGCCCCTAGGTCTACTCGGCCTTAAATCGGTGCGCGCCGGAGTAAAACGTCGGCAACGGTGCGGAAAAGCGGGGCGGCCGACGAGGCCTTGGCGCTCGCCGCACGAAACCCCTTCCCACCCCCCCGTTCGTGCGCCGTGCCGGCTACTCATCGGCACTTTGCCTCTAAAACAGTCGATGTGGAGGGGGGCGGGGGCCCGGGGCAAGTCCCACTGCGAGCCCTCCGACAGCCTCCAAACTATAGCGGAAGTATTACATCTGGCACCGTGGCGACGAAGCGCGCCCCCCACCACCGAAAGCGCGGGGCCCCGGGCGGTCGCCTGTAGGGACGGCTCCGGGTGAAGGGTGTATATTGTATTTATTGACAAAGAATAATTTCTCACAACGACGAGCAAGATAGCCGTGGGGGGTGGTGGGTTGGTGGGGGTGGGGGAGCGGATAAATCGCTGCAAGGTGGCGCAGTATGGAGGGAGGGAAGGGACATGGCATGGCGCATCGAGATGCCGGTCAACTCGGTCGGCGTTCCCGTGACCTGCGCGCGAGTCTCCACGTGCTGCTCTCGGCGTGCGACCTCGCCTGGAACAAGCCCGATGCATGAAGAGGCGAAGAGGCGTTGTTGATGAGGCGTGCCACGGTGGCTCGGAGATGTTAACGCCCTCGCCTGGTATGCGAGGGGGTCCTGGGCTCGCTCCCGACCCTGACGCCTGCTGTATATTTGGGGGTTCGTGCGTCTCATCCCCACCATCACGGTGGTGATGAGATGTTAACGCTCTCGCCTGGTATGCGAGGGGGTCCTGGGCTCTCTCTCTCTCGCCGTGGTCGCGTGGATTTTTCTCCGGGTCCTGGCGGAGTTTTTTTTTCGCCCTCCCTCCACATTTAGAAACATGCGTTTACAAAATAAAAAAGAGCCATATAGCTCAGCGGGACTCATCTGGTAAAATAACAGGAATAGTTTATAAATATTTTTTTTACCTACGTGACTTTACCGAATAGAACCAAAGAGTATGGATCCTTGCAGTCACGAAAGCTTCAAATCTAGAATAGTTTATACTCTTTGGTTCTTTCGGTAAAGTCACGTAGGTATAAAATAAAATAAATCACGACGTTTCGGGCGCGACACCCGCGTCCGTCATCGGGTGGGAAAGCGTGGCCTGCTGCTGTGGCAGACTTTTAAAAGAGGCCAGAGAGGACACCTTTTAAAACAGTCTACCACAGCAGCGGGCCACGCTTTCCCACCCGATGACGGACGCTGGTGTCGCGCCCGAAAACGTCGTGATTTAATTTATTCTATACCTACGTGACTTTACCGAAAGAACCAATGAGTATGGATTCCTGCAGTCACGAAAGCTTCAAATCCAGAAAGGAATCGTTTAGTTTACGTAGCTTGCGTGCACACAGGAAGGTGGTGTATCTCAGCATGTTCTGGGGAATGAACCCCAAGCATGTCCAGGTGACGGCACCGTAGCAAGCCGAGACTCGCGCTGCTCTTTACGTGCCACATTTTTCTGGGTGCCGCTCCTCGCTAACGGCGCTTGCCCGCCACCGATATTGTCGTCTGTCACGGGCTTTAAGAGGGGCTGCTGCTGCTTTGGGGTGGAGTTGCATTGTCTTGTGCGATTAGTTCCTGCGCTCGTGCAATCGCATTTGGATCCGTGTGTACGTGTGCATATTTCGCTGCGTGTATCGTCAATGAGATAAGAGGTGGCCACACTTACCTGTCTGTGTCCGTGCCTGCCCTATAATAGGCGCTCGCTAACGGCACTCTTTAAGGAGGCTAGCTACGCGCGGGGTCGTTGGTTCTGTATGCATACACGTGTGTGTATGTGTGTGTGTGGAACGGTGGTGCAATGGTTAGCGTATTAAAATACTTTACCAGGCATTCCCCTAAAATGTTGAACGTTGAGCCAACGTTTGCCCAACGGTTGCAATCACATGCCAACGTTGTACCGACTTTGTGTGTTGACTGGGATGGGTTTGATTCCTCCCAACTAGGTAATTTCGAACGCAAGTGGTGTCAGAACCTGGCCTAGATGTTCCAATGGTTGACTCGGTTTTAAATGAGTGCTCCGCGCGGTTCGCGAACGCCTGCACTGGGGAGACAAAGGCGGCCGGGTGTGGTATTAGCCACACCACCAAGCGTTGGAGCAATGGTAAACCTGACGAGTTCGATTCCCGGCCACGACGAACATCAGTGTCGAGTGGTGCCTGAACCGGTCCCGGGCACCCTACTGCCCCTCCGCCTCTTAAACCTGTACTGACCGGCGTGGTGAAGTATGGCCAAACAACCCTATAACTGTCGAGACCCTCATCTAGCAGTGGATTGAAAAAGGGCTGCACGAGGCATGTAACGAGTAATCGTCATTACGTAATCGACTAGAATGATCCAACGGATTACGTTTACTTCCGAGTGTCACTGATCATCGGGAGGGTAATAAACGAAATGTTTCACCCTGCAAGCAAACGATCTGTGAATTGGATGATATATTCGCGGGTGAGCACGGGGGGGGGGGGGGGTTCACGGCCGATGATTCAATTTACAGGCGACGTTTCGCGCAATGGCCCTCATCCAATAATGGCTGTCTACGTAGAAAGCGACGTTTTGTATGTAAGAGGAGAAACGTCGCGCCTTTTTTTCTATTACACGCTTTTTTATTAACTCACTCTGTCTGTTGTTGTATCCTCAAATGTTGTAACTCAATTTTAACCCACTTCCCAACGTGGTATCGACTGCAAATTTGGTATACGTATGTCATACTGATGACAATATATTCTATCGTTAAAAATAAACATTATTTTTATATGTTATGTTTCGGCTTGGGTCTAATTGTCCACGCTCAACTGACGTTGACTGTAAATCACCACCACCCCCTTACGTTATGGCAAGCTTCGGGGCCACTTCCTGGAGTCGTGGAGTTCTGCCATTACCAGTACGGTACATTTCATGAAAACTTGTTTAAAATAAACTTTTTTTTAAAATATGACTTATGTTTTGTTTCCATTTAAGGCCACGGTTTTGTTTGGCGAATGTGCTGAGGTTTTTGTTAGTTGTGCTTGGGCACCACCGCCAACGCAGCATCACCGAATAATTTGTTCGATTTGAGAAAGGATTATATATTTTGCCTCGTATTTTTCTGGCTCGTTTGTATTATTGTACATTACTGCAATCGTCTATGTTATTTGTGCCATCTCGTTTCGGCTGTGTCCCCGCGTATGCGTGTCGGGGTTTCTCCGGTATGCTCCCGTGTAAAGCCAAACACTCGTTGATAGAATTGTCCAAAAATCCCAATTCATCAGAACCCTCGTGTCCCAATCTCGAGACTGAGGCTTTCATGGCTGGATATTTTAATGCGAGGGCCCAGGGGTGCGGTGGATAGGGGATGTGGTGCCTGGGGGTTGAGTGGCTGGGGTGAGGGGGTTGTGGGGTGACTTGGCTGGGGGTGTGTGGTGGTAGCTAAGGGGTGGAGTGGCTTTGGAAATCACCGCACGAAGCCCTCCAAATTTGCAGCTATTGTGAAACCACAATTTTGATGGGCATCCTAATCACTGCCATCACGGCCACCACATACAACGATCCCCCCGGTCAACTGTAGTCTCAACAGGCTGTCGGGGCAAGTACCGTTAGCGAGCACCAATTAACGCTGGCACGGCACACGAGGGGGTAGCACCACGCCCGGTCACCTTTGTCTCCCTAGTGGCGATGTTTACACATGGGACCAGGCACCAATTAAAGGCTGGGTCGACCTCGGGGGAGGCGCAGGACCGCTTCAGATGAGCCTCACTGGTGTTGGTTGTTGACCGTGAACGGGAATCGAACTCGGGTGGCCGGGTTCGTAGCGCCGCACGCGAACCGTTGCGTCACCGCTCCCCATCACCACCACCAACATCGATTGGGGAATGCAAATGTCGCTCATGCTGCCTCTGATCACCCAATTGCCTGTGGCACACTTGCACCATTGATATATAGAGAGATATTTACATAGTTTGCCTGACGATGCTACCGTTGCGTAACTTGCGTTACATAAACACTGTACACGAAATAATTTAAGATAACTGTTGCATACTTTTGACTTGACGATTCCACGTGTTCCTTTGTTGAACTCCCCCGCAAAGCGCCCGCTTTGATAGAATACCCGGCACTGCGCGGGGAAGTTCTCGACAACAACAAAAAAATCGCTATACGTGGACATTACATTACAGCCGTCATTCGTTTCATCGACATCTCCACCACCACCACCGTCTTCTCTATACTGTATCCGGATCATGAGAGCCTCTCAGGACGAATCGTTGCGTTGTCGGTGGCTGCGTTGCTTGAGAATTCTTAAGAATACCTGCGCCACGTGTGAACGGTGCGAATTGAGACGTCGCAATCACTGCTGAGGTGTCCACTTCCCTCCGCTGGTGCGAGTTCGGCTGCTTATCCCCCTTCCCGAGTTGCAGCAGCTGTCCGATGCAAATTGTTGACTCGTTGTTGTAGGTGGCATTTTGCCTCGGGGTCGCTGGGTTGGTTGGTGGGGGCTTGATTTAAAATGTATTTAGAACATTTGCAGGGCATTCCATGCAGGGCTGTTCCCTTACATGCTACGCTACATTT